CTTATAGTAATAAGGGATGTCAACTCGGTGAAAATTTACTAATCGAGTACTCGTTAGATTTACCGAGCGATACACGAGTACTCGCTCGGAAAAACATCTACAAAATGGAAACACAAAATTATACACATTTTACGTATTGTGGGTCGTTGTCTTATGGACGTAAAACCCTCAACATTATTATTTAGGACTAGATAATAGTCCCAGGAATTTTATACCATAATAAAGAGCTCATTTACTACATCCATTAATTATGTAAACTGGCAATAATCTAATCAATTAATTAATAAACATGTATAGAAAAATGTTTACTCAACTTTGTTACGTAACTAAAAGTCATGCTGGTGAAAATATGTGCTCTGACGGTAGAGAGGTGGAGGAATGACTTAGACACGATAAGCTTAAAGTGTAAGCCTTAGAAATATTCGCTTGTTCATAGCCTACATCTGTTCGAGGGAATTTAAAATGACAATTAAACGAAAACATTCGAAGCGTATTTTAATTTTGATTAATATTTAATTACCCTGGAAGCGCTCTTAATTAAAATTTTTTTTTTCTTTTAGAAGACAACAACATTCTAACGAAAACCGATTAGTCGAGTATCATTTTGGTATTCGATACTCGGTACTACCGCGCGATACTCGAGTACTCGAGTACTCGTCGACATCCCTAATAGTAATACATAATAATTATTACTCAACATTACGATTACAAAATGATTGTGTTCCCTTCTGATGTTCCAATGCTTAGCTTAGGGAAATTTTATAGACAATCCAATGGTGTTCTACCTCCCATATTTGACAAATCTGCATTCAAAGCTAAGGAATAAATGTATTCAGTGCTGTAAATGATATTCCTAGTTGTTTTTCTTCTTTCGCTTTAAAGACATACGTTTGTTCGATAATATTTTTTTCATAATTTATATACTTCATAAATTGTGTGTTGGTTGTTATTACACTTTGTCATATCATTTAAGTCAAGTCCTTACATTTTCCACTCAGTAATTAAAAAAAATGATGTTCTGTTACACGTTAATACAAATTTATATCATTGCGTTCATCTCATAAATCATTTAAAACTAAAAATTAAGGAAACCTCTATCATTTCTCAAATAGTAACTTCCCATTTCTCAAGAATAACATAGTAACCTCTGCACAATCGTGTTATGTTATTTTAGTATAACAAAAATACCAATTTTTAAATTGAATGTAAAATCATCAGGGTGAATTTCATTAAAACTGACATAATCAAAAGTTAGTCTTTACCAACAAACAGAACAAATGAAGAACAACGTTACGTGGTACAGACGTTTCCCACAAAATATCTGGTAAAACTGGCCAGTTTTTATAGCTGGCTAATTCTGGCACTTGTATGTCAGAAGTGAATAGTTCAGTTACATTAACAAAATCTAGTATGTAATCCAAACATAAATAATAAGCTTGTATTACAATAATTTGGATCCAGACAGTTTAAACTGTTAACATATATGTTACCGAGTCTGAAACAACTGGAAAAAAAACACGAAAAAACATACAAATAAATCTAACACGCCAACAAAACGTGTATCTAGTTGACATTAAATTTAAAAAAGACGCCAACAAAATAGTGCTATTAGTAGATATAGTACACACAGTTTATATAGTATATACTTTCTTTGTAAAGTATAAATTAAGTACAATATGAAGCCAATGGTTAACAAAGTGAAAAATTACTGTAAAAAATTTTGGGTCCGAATTAAATATCTGGACCCACCGGCACCAGAAACGCCAAACGCCAAAATACTTATAGCAGGATGCATAAACGTTATCATCGTATTACTTCAAGAGTGGTACGACCAACCGTAAAAAATAACGAAAAGACGAATAAAAGGAGGACTGTTAAGTAAAAAAGTTTAAAAATACACAACTTCAGCAACTATATTTTCTAAAATTCGAGAACATCTTGTATTATTTATGTAGTAGGCACTGGATATTTTTATCAATTAGATACTGATGAGCTTTTTCCGACAAATGACGATACTTTCTTTGTCGAAACCCTGGTACATCATTCCTTTGCACAGACACCCTTGGCGATCTCCGCAGTCATAATAGCAGCTGCAGACTTTTGATTATCGTATGAGATTGAAAATGTTTGCTATTATACGGGTAAAGTGGATATATTACTGCCTATGGGAGGACACTTTACAACTTTAACATTGAAATCGTTTTATTTGGTCATGGTATTCTGAAATGACCGAAATCCTTATACTGAAATAACCGAAAGTCGAGGTGTATGTCTAGAAATAAGATGGACGAAGCTGTTTCTTGGTTTCCTTTCTAATTGCTAGTGCAGGGAGATATATTAATAGGACCAAATCAGAAGAGTTTGGATTGTTAATGAAAAGAACATAATCAATATGCCTTTATAGGAAATTACAAGGTCTAGCTTCTTTAATCTTCTTGTATTTTACAAGTATCTAAGGAAAGCGCAGTTGATATGAAAATTAAAAAAAATTCTGCCAGGAAAGATGCAAAATGGCACTGTGTTACGCTCCTGCATGTTCACATTATACGGACTTTACCAACAGTGTGGTGATCCTTGCATAAACACTTTTCCCACAAAGTTGGAAGGGAAAACGATTGTAATTGTCACCATCACGAATTGGTTGACCGATCCAATAAAATAAATATTAAATCATAATCGATATGTTTTTGCAGTCTCAGATCTTTGGATACAAGTGTGTCGTTTGATCTGTAATTTTGGCACTGTGTACTATTTCCCTATTATTACGTCGACATTGGACAGCAATAAATAAAAGCAACAGTAGTATACCGCTGTTCGAAAGTCATAAAACGATTTAGAGAAAGCAAATCCGGGTTACAACCTAAAACTAAAATTGGGATGGCAGGTCATGCATTCATAGAAGAAATCGCTTCACCAGTCGACGTACCCGGTCTCGCTGTTTGTGGGGTTTATACGATCTCTCATGTTTTGTATGTTACATTGGACTATCTTTTTTTAACCAATTATAAGATTTTGAACATCGGTCACTTACTGTCGCCTTAGTGTACAATACAGATAATGACAGTAGTTTTGTTTTCTTTCAGATATTTTTTTTTTTTTTTTGCTTATGAACGACCTTGACTAATTTACATGTAACCATAGATATTAAGGACAACAATAAGATTTTTTATTTTTTTGCGAAATGTTCTCCAACAACTTTACATAAAAAAAAGATACATATAAAATTATTTCAACAACTGAATAATTTGCCGTTTGAGAATCTAAAGGACTATTGGTAATTTCATTGTCCTTTCACCAACAAAAAAAATTACATCACGTCATCGGTTGAATTTCCATCGTTTAGGACGTCGTTAATCAATCATGATGTTTTAATGTACACTTTTGATAATATTACCCAATGCATAAGATTCTGAAACGACGAATTCCAACGTATTGAACTGATTTGGTCATTTCCTGTTTATTAATGCTCCATGATTGAAATCATTTGGAGATACTGTATTTAATGCCAACAGTCATAGCTATCCTACCCCAAATATTACACAAGTCTTTAAGTTTGTTGGTTCTTGAAAGCTTGTTAACGTCTAGATTGATTTTTTCTGAATATGTCTTTGATCCAATCTACATTTAATGCTCTTAGCCAAACAAATAGAACATCTTAGTTACTTAAATTATAATTATAATAATTCAATGGTTTTCGTAGGCATATGTAAATTCAGGCGATAGCAGCGTACCGATTTATAAATTTTGTTAATCGATTAGTGAGAGACCAATCAGGAAAACAGAAAAAACTCAAGAAATCGCATGAATTATCAAATGAACGAGACCGGTTGTGCCGACAGGGTAAGTTGTGTTGTACATACAATTTTTTGTAAACTAAGGCACCCGACTCTTATTGACTTATTTTTGCTATGTCATATCGGGGCCATTTCATAGCTTGCAAAGCGGTATTGGTTTTGGTCATTGCCTCAGGCCGTACGGTGATATATAGTTCTCAACATTTATACCAATTTGTGTCTGATGGAAAACTGTCTTGTTGGTCATCATATCACATTTTTTTATTTTCTTTAGCTCCTTCTAATATGCATTCATCATCCGCCATGCGAATTCGTTTGTTTCTATGTAAGCAGTACATCCGTGGTCCTGTATTATAAAATGCAGTTACTGAGATATGTAAAGGCCATACGATGTTGCAGATGTTACTGATGAAACATGTTACAAAGGAAATATTGCTGTTTGCCTTCACTACAAAGTATAATATTATTGCTCTTATGGAAAACAACTTTATCGAGATTAAATATGTTTAAACTATCAAAACAAAATTAACAACGGAAACATACCTGAACATTGCTATGACAATATTTAATAACAACCAGTTTGTTAACATCATATAAAACGCCGCAATTACTGTTGTTATCCAATCTGCTGTCGGGCATCTCTCTATGGATGGATCAGTTTTCCATAGTGTAGCATTATTGGTGCAACCCGAATCGTCGGATGCTAAAAAAGAAAGGTTGTATTATATTAATGTAAAAAAATATATGACATAATCATTAGAGACAAAAATAGACAAAAGTGATAATGAGAAACAATTTTTGTAGTCATGTGTATTCCGACTGTCGTTCGAAAAATAATGTTTTCACTTAAATTTTAAGTTTTTTCATATACTATTTATTTTTCTTTTTTTTTAAAGATGCTCTATCTTAAAAATGAGGATTTTTTTAAATCACATTTCGGAGCTTCAACATTTAAATGAATCCACACTTACATTTAGAAGTAAATATTCTACATTTGTAAGCTATTTATATTATAATACGGTTACTTTACTATATAATTTTGATATGACATTCGTAAAAAAGTACAATGGAAAGAAAATTGTAACAGATACAATATATGCTTGTGAAATGAAACGCGTTGTTATATTTTCTATGAAAGGCCACAGTTCCATTACAACTACTTAATTTAAATATATTTTCAAATATGTCTTGAAGTAAAACCTTCCAATGTATCCAAAAATAGTTCGCCATAAACCTGCCAGTATGGAATCTTGAGAATTGTCCATATTCTCCAGAACTGAATATCACTTGAACCTGTGACTGTGTGGTTTGGGTAAACATTAGCATGGTAAACAACGCCAGCAGCAAATATAAAGATGAGAAGTATTAGTAAATACTGCATCAAATCCACAAGCTGAAAAATAAAAATCTGAATTCTCACTTTATCCAAACATTCTTTAAAACTTGTTTGCATGAGCATGTAAGTAAACAATTTATTTTAACAAGTAACATTCGTCGATATATCTTAATGAAAGGCGTGTCACAATCCCTTTTCATATTTGTTAGATTTATTAAAAATTTGTCATTTGTCGGATTGAAAAAGAAGGAAACTTAACCACAAAACTATAACGCAGGCGTATGTTACTGGTGTTTTCATGTTTGTCGGTGTGACGTTGATATTTGAAAAACCCTCTGATCGAGACTGATATTTTCTCAATATAAATACAACTATGGTATGTTTACATGTATGGGTTGAAAAGCTTTTTAGCAATATTATTTTCAATCCATTAATATCGCATGTAGAGTATTGCACGTGTAGAAAATATTCCTACCCGTCATCGTTAATTTTGTTGAATTTAACCAAATGCGAGATAGAAAGCTTTGTATGCTTGATAGAGGCCACTTTGTAAACATATGATGAAGTGGTTTGTTGTTTTATGTACTTTCATGTTTATTACTAATCATACAGTATGTTTCAAAAAGTCATGAACAATCATATATCTTTTCAAAATATATCATTTTCAACTTGACTATTGCTCAATCACATTTTCGAAGAGGGGAAGTTAACTCAAATGAATGTCAAATGATTTGCATTTATCAGCTGGTAAAACATTTGAATGCCGTCACGATTTTCTTACCTATTTTGTTATAAGTGAGTAGCATTAGACGAATGTCTCTCATTTAAGATGGCAAGTGAATTTGATGATAGGGTTTCTTCATGGTTCAGTTTCAAGTATTTTGCTTCGAGCCATACTTTACCTCGCTCAGTGCAAGCAACATAAAACTTACCAAAATTACCATTATAGCAAGTTTGTTTCAAGTTAAAAATGAGTTATTCGTTTCCAAATCCTTAAAGTTACAACTTAGCGATTTCCGAAATGCTAGATTAAAACAAAAATATCTTATGATTCTTCTTATATTAACTCACCATTTCTTTCACCATTATTATAATTATTCCAAAACGTTTAAACAGTAATAAAACATTCAGTAGGCGCAGGAACATGATGAAAAGGGCTATACTATAGATTCTCCTAGTGTGCATAAGCAAATTGGAATCGAGAATGTGCATGCAAAATGCAAGTATGTAAAGCAATAAACATAATAGATCCAAAATGTTCCAAATATTTAATAGGTGAAGAAATATTCTTTGTTTTGACCAGTTGCAGTCTTTGTCAGGTCGAATCTGTAAAAACAAATACGATAGTTCATATTTAAACTGATATAAAAGATTCCTGTTTACATTTGAATATTTTTATATCCTTCAAAAGCTTCACTGAAATGTATCTGCTTTCAATGTTAAACAAGTGAAAGGGAAGATAATTAAGCTTCATGTTCATTGTTTAATAAATGAAGGGAACTTAAGACACACAGAGAAAGTAAAATTGTACAGATGTTCCTTTAGGTAAATAACGAGTTTCGAGACTGTTATATTTCAAAGTCAAACACAATATAAACGTCGGAAAGCTGATAAAACAAAAAGTACTGAAAGAAATTAAAATTTTCAAGAAGTCAGAGGCGTGCTTGAAGGAGAAACAGTTCTTTATTTGATATTATTTAAAAAAATGTATAACAGCAAATTCAAATAAAAACACTATCTGTATTTCATGTCATGACTGGCGATACCTTTGAGCTCGAGACCCGAAGCAGATGATGTATGTACCCATCGTAGAATCAACATTAACCGTACAATGTTTACTACACCAGACTCGAATTTCGACAAATAATGTCTCTTCGTTAGTAACCCGGAAATGTTTTCTCTCAATCGATTTATGATTTTTTAATAGCGATATACTACGGTCATTTTCATTTCGGTAATGTTCAAGGTCCAAATATTTCAAATTCTAACCGTAATGGTAACTTCGAAGAGCTTATACAACCAAACACACAAGGAATACGAGCTACATGTATGTTTGAGTTATATATATTTATCAATTTTGTAAATGAGTTCTCAATGTTATAAAAGCAGATGACGAGGTATGGTAATAGCTATTTTTTAACATGAAATTGTAAACATAGTATACATAATTATGTATGCCTTAAAAGTAATAAATTCATTGATGGGTAAGCAGGTTAATATCATTAACGCATACATGTTGGTTAGAATATATATAAGCAACAACTTTACACAAAAAGACCTTATAAAAAACTTTAACATTTTTCTAAAATATATTTAAGCAAAATTGAGTAAATGATTTACTCACTTCTATTATAAGGGCAAGATATTCGGATTCGAACACCGACTAGTATAGTTGTCAAATTTGGAATGTAAGTAATGCAATATGTTTAAAATGTATCCAGCAAAAAAGCAACGTTCAGAGAAAAATTATATATATAGCCTGAGGAAGAAGATGAAGATATGAAGAGGGGGCGAAAGAATAGCAGTGGTTACTTGCCCTTGTAGATATGTAATCAGTTTGCATTATCCGAGTTAGCAGGGAACTTCTAGATCTGCAGTTCTCTAGATGTATATTACATAAGCTGTATTTGATAAAACCTTTTTTTTTCTTCTTTTTTTTCTTTCTTAAAACTAAATTTTATTAACATATGTGCATTATTTTGTTAATAGAAACATCAAATACCGGTACCTTATCCTGGCCTCGTTAGCATGATTATAGAACATTAACTATGTTATTTTTATAAAACATCTTTCGTACCGGTGGATCATCAATGCTCTTCAACTTCGTTCTTCATTTGACCTTTCCAACTATGTCATTCTAGCGTCACTGATAAATCTTTTGTAGACGATACGCGCTTTTAGCGTACACATGTTTAAGCTCAGTATTTCTGATGAGTTTTTTTAGTAACTAGGCTGATAGAGTGGTGACTTACTCTACTAGGGTTCCCGGGTTCAAAACCTGGTACATTAATTTATCTAGACAGGTAAACCATGCTCTCCAGTTATTGGTGAAACAGAACACAATTCACAAATGTCGACAATTAAGATTCCATATAAAATTGCAGTGAACATGTATGCTTACCATGCTCCATATTTCCTCTAATAAATCACCTAACATGTATATGAAAATCAGACCTTCCTGCAAAGATATTGAATCATCCTGAAGGTTGAGAGTGAGAAAGAAGCTAAACATGATCAAGGCAGCTGTGAAAAAAATCTACAAAATAACAACATGGATCATTAAACATACATATTTGTCAAGTCACTATATAGATTCAAACATTAAAATGAATCAAATAAAAGTTCAAGTGAGTATTGTTTTCAATAAAGTTAATGCTTAATTTACAATAAGTGTAAAATTATATTTGCAGGGGTCATCAATCTTAAATTTTACGGAAGGAAATCCACAACCTCCATAGATCGATAGCTAGAGTTGTTGAGATTAGCATTAGGAAACTCACAATTTCCATGTTTACTAGAATTGAAGGCTTCATTTACTTATAAATCCATTGGGTGTAAAAGCATTGTCCGACGCACAATGTATGTGATGCATGTACGTGCTTTAATATGTTTGTCTTTTTTGTCTTTTTGTCTTTTATGTCAATGCAAAAGGTTGTTTTATATAATTGCAGAAAACCTGGACAAGTTTTAAGAGTTGAAATTCCGCACTGATTCGTACAATTCTTTTGAACATTTGCGATATAATGTTTCATAGTTTTTAAGGGACAATACGATAAACTTTCAACTAAGATGAATGAATATGCAAATGCTAAAACAGAGTTTTCAAAGTTGCCATAAAGTCGAAGTCCCCCGACCCTATTTAAATGTTTGTACCAGACATCGAAAATAAAAAAAGCATTTTAGCCACGATTCTTGTGTATTACATATTATATTACGATTATTAGGGTTCGTCAGCGAATTCAGAAACAGAGCAGCCAAGCCCGTTCTAAGAGTCAATGATATATGTATATGCATGAGAGGGATGCAATCCTCAATTACAGATGAGGTATCCTCTTAATCCCATTTCTTCCATGTACTTAGAGTAGTGTCTCATTGAATTTTCCAATGAACTCTTATCAATTAATTTAATTGTTTAAATTCGTTAATAACCGTTGATCATCTATGTTTAAAGTATAATTGGAATATTGAACTCACAACGTGGAAAACCATCATTGCCGCAGGTGATGTTAAAATGGCTATCTTGGATCTGGTCCAGTGGTACTATAAGAATAAATAACGCTCTTCAATGAATATCTCATTAGTCATTTATATATAATTTTACACGACTATACAATATAATCATCCTACTTTGATTGTGTCCTTTATGTGTTGTACGTTCATTCGAATCATCAGCTAATTACTTTAATATGCCCGTACATTTTTGTATTTGAATTCAAATAAATTGTTCGTCTATACTTTTGATAAAAAATAAAAACATTAAAAGTTATCAATATTAGGCGAAATACAATACATCGTATGTTTACCATGTTTACAGTTCATAATGATTGTCATGAAAGATGGTACCATTTTTTTTTTACATAAATGTGCCGACCAAAAAGGTATTCTCGCAAAAGTAAGACAAGACATATTTGAAAGATAAACTATTTTTGTTTTGTTTAATGTGGTTCCTGTACAAAAAAAAACAACAAAAAGACAAAAAAAAAAACCCAAAAAATGCAGATTGAATAATAAAAATAGAAGTGTGACTTAGTAACAAGAATACGTCGACAAATATGAAAAGTGATAAAACTGATGAACTTGAAGAAATACTTAAACGATGTATAACTGTACTTTATGATAGCAAGTCGTTTTCGATTGTTACAAATATAAATTTAACAAATTTATCACTATTTTGTTTTATGAGGTTTTCACTAAATGATATATCCTTATATCGCATTTGGATCATGAGCCAACAAATCTATTCGTAACAATATTAATATCCACGGAAGGAGAGTATATTAGTTGTGTAAACTCTAATAATTAATTCCGAATTTACACAAAGTGAACCTTTAGGGGGAAAATTGATTTGTTCAAATATATTTTAATAATAATTTCAAACAGTTGCTTGTATCATCTTACAGGGGTTAACGATATTTGTTACATATATATATATATATATATATATATATATTGATTAACGTGTACACTATCGCTTCTTTAATCTTGCATGGGTTAACGATATTTGTTACATGTTTATATTAATTAACGCATACACTATTGTGAACATTGTAAAGATCAATACATCACTATATGATAAACATGTGTAGTATTTTAATTTAATTTATATTTGTGTGATGTTAAATGCATTCGTCTTTTAATATTCTATGTTGTTTGTGATATATTGCATACCAGATATCTCAATGTAAACCATATGTACTAATTTATTCATATCCAAACTTCACATATAAGTAAAATTATTTCGTCTATTAACTAAGTTTTTAAATCATATATTTGTTTTTCATTGATGGAGAAAATCATAAACGTTTACAGTACACAGTTTTTTAACATTTAACATTTGAATTAACAGCTGATCTTTCTGTTATCAAATAGTTTACAAACACCTATACATAAAAAGCAACCGCTCACCGTAGTAGATTCCTGGATTTGTAATTCATTGGCATTTGAAGTCCTGTTATCTTGGTTACTACCTGACTGGATGTTTTTATCTTCAGTTAAATTATACGAAAACAATCGTTTACTTGCATCCTTCTGATTGGACGGGTGAGATATGAACTCCTCGATATTAAATTGGTGCCCAAAATGTAAAGGACTTTCATAATGTTCCCATATTTCAGAGACGTAATCCAAAGCATCTTTTGCCAGACGTTCATTATCAGAAAACATTTTTTCTAAAAGTTGTATGGCACGTGATAAAAACAAACTGTAAGAAAAAAAAAAAAGCATGTCAGTTTTAGATTATCTAATGTTTTAAAGCAGGTGTTAAACTCGATGCACCTGGTCTCGTTTTATTTAGATTTAGTGTGATTCTTACGGAATTTCTATTTGCTAGTTATTTGTATACTCGAAATTGATTTCCGAGATTCATACAAAGCTAAACTTCTGTTTCATCTCATTTAAATTTTCATGTCAAATTTCCATCAAAGGGGAGAAAAGATAGCACTCTTCAAATAAAGTCACAAGTCGAAGAAAAAGAACCAATATGTATCCGTAGAAAAAAGGCCAAAACACAAATACCCAAAAGGTCGTGAAATGTTTCTGATTGTTAAGGTCCTTAATGATAGTCCTTTTGGTCTTTTAACTCTTCGATGTCTCAAAAAGGTTTTGGTTTTCAAAGAGTTTGCCTAGGGCATTATTAAAGAAATTGTATTGTCTATATGTGCATCTAATGTTATTTCATAATAGTTAGTTTTATAACTATGGCCTCCGTAAAACTAACAGAAAAATGACTTTCAGCTTGACATTTAAGAAACCGTCGTTCAATGATATGTGCATACATAATACGCAAGACCTATAATTTTTAATCAACAGTAACGTATATACCCCATATGCAAATGCTTGCAAAAAATAAAAGAATAAAAACAATCGAAATTAAAAGCTATCTCTTCTGTTTGAAGCATACTTGACTATATCTAGGTTAATTGTTTTACAAGAGGTTTACCTGATTAAGATAACATCTTAACATTTTTATTTTTATTTTTTTTTTTTTTTTGCTTTTCATAATTTCGTTTCATATATCGAAATTTTAAACAACTGTCATACAAGTGGGAGGTTTAGCTAGCTATAAAACCGGGTTAAACCAGCTTTTTTCTTTAAAAAAAAATGTCAATATGGGACTTGTTGTCTTTTCGTTACGCCATCGATTAATAAATTTCACAGTTTGGTGTTTATCAGTTAATGTACACCCTTATTTGAATTTACTTTGAAGTTCAGTTATTTTGTTAAACCTTTTATTAAAACAAAGAAATAACATAATAAAGATAACGTTTTACCGTTCGAATAATCTCTTTGCCAATTCTCGTAATTAACCCTGTCATGAGAGATCCCTTTTTGTGGTTGTCTCCCTTAGTAGGGACAAACATTTCTAATTGATAATGCAAAGCTATCAGAAAGAGCACATTTATCAGTGCGTAATGTGTCTAACCTATTTTTCTTAAATCTTTTAATTACATTTAATTTTTTTATACCAGATCTTGTTTTTCGTTCAAAAGTTGTTAAAACGCCGAAATATCACTTTAAACTGATCAAGCTTTACTTGGGCAAAACACAATTGTGTCCGGTATAGAACATGTAGAACCAAACTACGATTGATAAAGGGAAGTTATTTTTTTTCAAAAAGTATGAAATAACGGATTCAAATCGGTTATTGGCAAATAGACTATTGATGACCATTGCACAAGAAAGAGGACATATTGATATACATAACAATGTTGTAAAATGTTCGTCCGCATTGCTTTGATTAAATAATGGACACAACTTGTAAGTAGGAAGAATTTAAAGATTTGACTCAGTATGTATAATCAAAATTTTTAGCTAAATTGGCTGAACAGGTATAATCAACTCGTTGGCTTCTTTTTAATGGCATCATTTTGAAGGTGAAGAAAAAACATATGGTGGTGCACTTCTTATTTTGCAACTGTCCTTTGAAGGTACCCAATTTTAATGATTTCCCCATTTTTCATAAATTTTTACCTATTTTTGGGCTATTTTCGTGAAAAAAATCACAGTTCCACAATTAAACTTTTTTTCATACTATCAATAAAGATAAAGTGGACCAATCTGAATAAATTTAATTTAAAAAAACCACAAGTAGGTGTTAATATAAGGTTCTATTATAATTTGATGCTTTTTTGTGTCAAATTTACCATGTTGTCAATTTTGTAAATTTGTGATTTTTCTCTGTTTTAAGAATAAAATGCATATTTTTTCAACTTCTTTGTTATAAATGTTTAAAAATATACATATTTAAGAAATTTGAAAAGAAAAAAAGGACATGGGATGTACATGTTTCTCGTAAAATATTTTTTTGTATCCCTCACCCATTTTCTTAAAATTTTGGCTAAAAAGACTGACTTGATTGGTAATAAAATTTAAAATATTGATTACTCAAAAACTACTTATGCAAATACACAATTTTTTCACAGAGTTAAGTTTGTTTGTAACATTTTTTAAATTCATTAATATTATCCACTTGTATCACATATTTTGGAAATAATGCCAGAACGAGATTTCAACGAAACTGAAACCTCAGAAGAATACATCCTTAAGGTGTATACAAACCAAATTAATGTTAGTTCTTAACAATGGTGTGTATACTTTTTCAAACAAGTTTTAGTGTTATATAAAATTGAGAAAAAAATAGGAAATATGTCAAAGAGACAACCAAACTACCAAAGAGCGGATAACAGATAGACACACTTCTCCATTTTTTAATCGATTTAAGATCCAATATTTATGATTTCAGAATTGCACTTACTCTGCATGATTCTGCAATTCCTCTTGATCTTTTTCGTCAAATGTTTGTTCTGCAGTATTTGCCAACGAAGTAAGATAAATGCTTGAAATCAGGGCGGTCACTGTAGTAGAAAACAAATTATTGCCTTCTCATGATTTTGATATATACTAGTGTGTATATGGTTTTAACTTTTTTCAGGGGGCACACAGAATATAATAAAGAATGGCATTCATTGTGGTGAGCCGTCAAACGTTTTTTTATGAAAATTTAGGGACACTCTTAATACGTTCTTGTGTACAATTGCAATAGTTTAATAGTTTATGACTAAACCTACAAAATCAGACATTTTAATTCATATTTGCATAATTACAGACAAAAACTTTAAAAATGCAAATTAATGTGGTAAAATAAATAAACACCGCTCTTAATGCTCGTCACCTTTTCATAATAATATTAGACAGGATATAAAAGATTCCCAACTGATGGTAATGTAATATTGTTTCTTAGTGCCGACTCAATCAATATTGTTATGTTATCGACAATTTTTAAATGTTTTACTTGTAATTGTTTTCAGCAAACTTCGACGGTTGAATTGTTTGTGTGATCAAGGCTTATTCGATTGACGCTTTTTCCCTGGTCGGTTTGAAAATAGAACGGATTTGTAATTATTTATATCCCTTTTTTATACAAGACATTCAGTAAAATTAAATTTTTAAAAACCAAAGCCCGTGCAGGGATTACACAAATTCAATCGTACCAAGATGTGGATGCCATCTTTGCAATCATATTCTCAAAACTGCTTTTGTTATAAATGAACTAAAAATATTTTCGATCCCTTTCATTCCCCCAAAAGGAACGCCAGTTACAAAAAATCTACACTAAAAATTATTTAAATTATTTGACCAAGAAGTTGGTGGCTAAGTCATGTCTAACGGACATATCTGCAAAGTGTATTACTGAAAGACATATCTTTTTATTGAAGAAATGTAAATCTTCATCACTTTTTTAAGGTTTTTATTGCAAAAATGAAAAAGAGATAGAAAACATCAAGGACAGGTTTAGGTTCGGAAAACCATTAAGAGAGTATCAATTCAACAAAGGGAACAGCAACTAAACAAAGTAACCTGGATACAAGATCTTGCATGTTTTGACAAAACAATAATTTATGTTACTTTTTTAAGACCATAGAAACCAGTAGTATTATGTTGACCTTACTTATTGGATTATCGCAGTGGTACCATAGAACAGCTGCCGTTTCCCTCCGATTTATCAGTACAGCAAGTCTCAATATCTCAATTGTAGGCATCGAAGTGGTTTCTTTTGGGCCTACAGGCTTGCACTTACAGCATGTCGTAATTCCAATTTTTGAAAAACAAAGACCTGAAAGGAAATTAAGCATCGTTGCAGGGAAGTACTGTTGCATCTACAAATCTTGCAGGTATTGAACATGTTGAATGATTACCATAACATGATATTTTTTCCTCCAAAAATGTTATATTTAAAAATTCAATGAAGTATTTGTGCTATCTTTCATAAATAAACAATACTTTGTTACAAAAATCCTGTTTAATGATTTTAAAATAGTACAAATAGTAATGCGCTTTTTTGTGTAAAAAGTGAAAATTGTAATGAAATCAACCTGGTAACTGAGTACTAGAGCTACTTGGATTTATCTCACTAAGTTATTTGCCAAAAAAATGCCCTGTCATTTTTAGAATATCAGCCTCTAGTCGATTTAATCGCATTGTATATCATATGAATGAAATGCAGTTTTGACTAAATCTGTGTGGTATCGGGAAATTATACAACTTAAAAAAGTTATTGGATTGAAATACTAGTATATAATTTATACTTAATTTGTACGTAGTATGAAAAAATATATATCACCATTAAACGTTTTTCATATTTGATATTTTGTCTCCTTGCACAACATAAAATGTAAAAAAAATGTTGCTTTTAGTGATAATTTAACAATCTCTGTTTTCATAACAAACAAAAGTATAATCGCTTATTTGAATTTAATGTATTCTAATAACATATACTTGATACTTATGAATTTTAAGAAATCCTAGACGGTCGTGTATCAGGTCTTGCCTAATTGTTATAAGGAACAGTAGTTAAAACTAAAATATGTTTTTTAAGTAATGTAAACCATATCTAACAATGCGAGCGTTTGGCGTGATAAGCAAAGGCAAATTTGCTATTTAGAATTTTCGAAAACAGGACATATTTGCTCACTGTTACTACGCATTATTGTAAAGCTGCTGACCAAACATGAAGACAAAAAGTACCGAAGAAAGGAATTATGACTTTTAACTCTTCTTCATCATATTTGAAATTTCGGCAAGCATGAAATGTGCATCACACAGATCCGTGAAGAACAATTCTGTAATAGTTATATTAATATATGAATTTGTTTGCTTACCTTTGAGGAGTTTTTGAGATATTACTACAATTGCTTTTACATCGTCTATACCACTCGAACAAAAGCTCTAAAACATTATTGAAAATTGAGTTAACGATATAATAAATATTGTTTATATAAGTCGTTTTGCAAATAACTATGATGACGTACATTTATTAACTATAACTAGATATATTGTCAGCAAAACGACGTTAATTTTGCTTTTATAAAATGTAATCAATAATACCAGGCATACTATCTGATACGCTAGTCGCTAGTCTACCTCAGATTCATTAATTGGCGCTCGAGAAAATCGGTTGGAATGCACAACACAATACGAACTTTCAAAAAGCATGTTAATGGTTTACCTGTTATGCATATTTAATTTTTAAATCCTGGATATTTCTATCGTTTTTTTTTTTTGAATACTTTCCATTAAAGAGATAAGCAAAATACAAACAATTTGAAGAAAATCAAAACACACTATTTTCTTCAAATCGAAAGCAGCCTTGTTGTAACTGTTGCTTTACATTTATTTAAAAAACACCAATATGTTTGTATAACAGATATCGAGTTTCTTAGTGATAGTCTGACAATAACATAGCTCAGCGCAAAAAAAAATATCACAAGTCAAAAATCTCCATCCGTCACCCGATTGCATTTTTGTATGCACATTCAAACACATTCAAACACAAAAAAACATCTATTTGCATAGAAATATAATATATATATTCACCTAAAGGAGCTGATAAAAACTCGTGGTTTTAATTGAATTGATTTCCTGAAAATTAAAACGGAGATACAAAATATGATATACAGTGTAAAATATACCTTTCTTACTCTTTTTAAAAACAAACTGTAGACAATACCATGCAATATGTTATAACAAATAAATTCAAAATCAGCATAACTTACAGTTATAGCTTTGTCGCTTTTTCTTTCGATTTGTTTTAATTTTGTATAGCACTTGGGTATCTTTCGCCTCCTGTTTACGTTGTGTTAGATGCATAAAACATTGTATGCATACTAAATTTTTATGGATCCTCAGTTTTTGTCTCTGTGACAGTGACATGATTTATCTGTTTTTGTTATTCATTTAATTATGTCAATATATTAACTGAACTATTAACAAGTGTTATACAATTGAGATGTTTAGCTAACAATGCATATTTACACAGGTTGAACTAACCATTTCTTTTCAAAAATGCCTGGGATTATGGCATGGTATTGGTTGCAAAAATTTGATATTTTTCATTTAAATACAATATTTCTTATTTAATTGGTATATTTCTTCATTTAAATGCAATATTTTTTTATTTGAATGGTATATTTTTTCATTTAAATGCAATATTTTTATTCAAATGGTATAATTTTTCATTCAAATGGTTTAATTTTTCATTCAAATGGTATAATTTTCATTCAAATGCAATAGTTTTTATTCAATTGGTATAAAATGTCATTTGAATGCAATATTTGTATTTCAATTGGTATAGTAGTTTCTTTTATTTATATGCAATAACTGCATTATGGGAAATTCTTTGACGTCATTAGGTCAAATTTGCAACAACGTTTGTGATTGGTCGGAAATTGTTAGGATTTCTCCCCTTTCTTTCTAAACATGGGTGACCAAGAATTAAAAAATGCGTCAGAATATCGCCCCTCTAGCTAAATCTAACGTTCGTGCGAGTCCTGCACTGGCTGTTAAAGTCTTGTGGTCATAACTAGTATTTCTATTGCAAAATTTCGATGGTCAAAACGTTCGGTCCACTTTTCAAAAACCGTTTCATTGTATATGGATTTATATGCAAGTATATCGTTTTTTTTAAATAGATTAGACACTGTTGGTTTTCCCGTTTGAATGGTTTTACACTACTAATTTTTTGGGGGCCCTTTATAGCTTGCTGTTCGTTTTGAGCCAAGGCTCCGTGTTGAAGACCGTACGTTGACCTTTAATGGTTTACATTTACAAATTATGACTTGGATGGAGAGTTCTCATCGGCACTCATACCACATCTTCTTATATCTATATACAACATAAACCAGACGTTTCTCAGACTGTTTTCTTTTTTTAATAAATCCTTTGCCGCGCGTTGTGTACTGATTGATAACTCAGTCTGGGAGAACAAGATTTATTTCAGTACCAGTTGTAATTAGGTTTGAGCAAACTTCCAGTAATTGCAAATACTCTTATGTCGGTGCTTTGTGTCTATTGTCTTAATGTTAGTTTTTTTGGGTGTCTCGTACCGATCTTTTAAGTTAATTTGCTGATTTGTGCAGGTTGTTATTTTATTGTACTGTTACTCCACTGTCCCAGCTTCGGGATGGGTTGCTCACAAACATGTTGTTGTACTGTTACACCGCTGTCCCAGATTAGGGGAGGATTGGGATCCCGCTAACATGTTTAACCCCGCCACATTCTGTATGTATGTGCTTGTCCCAAGTCAGGAGCCTGTAATTCAGTGGTTGCCGTTTGTTGCTTTGTTATACATATATTTGTTTCGTTCATTTTTTTGTACATTAATTCGGCCGTTAGTTTTCTAGATTGAATTGTTTTACATTTTTGATTTCGGGGCCTTTTATAGCTGACTATGCGATGTAGGCTTTGCTTATTGTCGAAGGCCGTGCGGTGATTTATAGCTGTTGATTTCTGTGTCATTTGATCTTTAGTGGAGAGTTGTCTCATTTGCACTCATACCATATCTTCGTTTTTATATCCACCCTGCCATATTCTTTATTTGCCTGTCCCAGGGATGGAGCCTGTAGTTTAGTGGTTGTCGTTGGTTCCTGTCTCGACTCATATTTGATATTTTGTAAATTGTTTTGTTATGTATAATTAGGCTGTTAGTTTTTTCGTTTGAATTGTTGACACTTTTCATGTCGGGCCTTTTATAGACGACTTTACAGTATCAGGTTTTTGTCATTGTTGAAAGCCTTACGATTGTCTACAAAAAGCATTTGTCTACATGACGACAAAAAGCTCTACAGAGCTTATGTTTGTAGTATTTCATGTAACCCGACTGAAAATATTTTTTTCTTATTTTATCTTATCTTATCTTATCTATAATTGCTTACATACACTTCATATTTGAACTCCGGTGGATAGTTGCCTTATTAGCAATCATATTTCATCTCTTCATTTTTATATTATATACGTGACTTCTAAACTCGTGTTTTCCTGAACAAGCATGAAATAATTTTCACTGGGCGTTAAAATTAGCAACAAACAATCAATCAATTTAAACTTGTGTTAAATAAGAGGAAAACCATTTGATATTTATTTATTTGTTGGAGTGGGGGACAGAAGGATTTCATATATGAATATGGTTGCCTGGTAAGAGCTGAAAAATAGGCATGCTTAGCGACAGATTGAAATGAATAATAATGCCCTCTCTTCCCTTCCCCATCCTTCATCTCTAAATTTAAACTGACCACCACGGAATAGCCCAATAGTGTTGAAAGTAGCGTTAAACACCAATCAATCAAAATCCCTTCCCTAGAATATCAAATAATCGTCCCTTAACTGTTATTGTCCGTGTAGTTCTTATATTTATCCAGCTTATCGTCCTACAGGGATGTCCTACTAAGGCTGTCATACCATAAAAAACGTTTATAAAACAGCTCCCATTCTAATATATCTGCATTCATAAATTTATTAATTTCATTTAGACTAAACGACGCCATGTTTGTTATGTGCCTCTGCCGTCAACCTATCAAAAAAGAAGAGGTGGAAGAGAGCCAGAAGATCTTCCCAATGCAAAAAAAAAAACAGAAATGGACTTCTTCTGGCTCACTTCCGAAGAACAAAAAAAAAACGCGCCCCATTGATATGTTTTAAAAAACGCCTTGCCCCTACCCTTTTTTCCAAAAAAATGGCATTATTAAATATATAAACATATATATAATCATCAAAATTAAAATGCTATTGTATTTTTATAAGACCTACTTTATTACATGACCTGGGACTAATGACATCTATCTATAAGTCCTAGCATACATTAATTATTATAATATGAATATGTTTCTTGTTTTAATAACCACATATGATGCTATGCATGAGTCACCATTTATCAGGACATGCATTGGGTTTACATAGAGAGGATAAGGGACGACATCAGAAAATTAATGAAGGATAAAAAACTTTATTCAAATAGTTGCGGGGGGGGGGGGGGGGGGGGGTCAAACTTGCTGCAAGTTTTGTTTAATTAACATCGATTTTATGTATATCCTTATTGGTCAATCAATTTTTCCAAAATTAAGATAAGAGGGGGGAAGGGGGGTCAGTGAAAAAAACTATATGAATTAAGTTTTTTTTATCCTACATTAAACTTTTGATGTCCCTAATGTGCAAAAAAATAGATAAGGGGCGGGACCAAACCTAACATAATAAAGAAATGATGAAATATACAGAATACGTTGATTGACTTTTGGTTGCCTTATGTCTAGTGGCAAATATGTCACGCATGTTAACGACAAATATAATAGAGATCAAAGGATAAAGAATAGAGTGAAATGGTAAAAACTAAAAGATATAGAATTAAAGAAACGATCTTTGATCTGAAACCCCTACCCTCACACACACACCATAACCATTACTGCCAATACTCGCATATATATTCATCTCTATACAAATATCTAAATTTGAACCAACTCCCCCCCCCCCCCCCCCCCCCCCTCCCCCCCCCCCCCCCACCCCGAGGTTTTGGATTCGCCCCTGTTAAATGTGTCTTATTCTATACATTTCGTACAGGTCTAGATAATAGCTAAACGTACAATCATATAATTTGTTGGATATCTAATTATGTTATATAATGTGTCACAAAATAAACTAGTATACCCCCTTCCCAATGCAGTATTGAAAAGTAAATCATTTAAAATTCCTGAAGATAAAATTTGTTTTGAAATATGCCCTGCGTACTTATTTATGCAAAGACATATAGTAATCATTGAACTACTGTGGGGCTTGAAAAAAAATCTATTTAAGGGATTCAGAGACGAGAACAGTAAAAAAAAAGCTCAGCAACGAATTCTAAATGTAAAATGATTTGCAGCATAAGACATGAGAGCACATATTATAGATAGTATTAAATATGAAGTTCACGCCTCATATAGTGAAGTCCTATGTCATAGGACTTTTGTTGTAACATGGGTTAGTAATGGTTCCAATTTATCCTGAATTGTCTTTATTAAAGAATTAGTTCCGGAGTATAACAGCTTATGTCTCTACATTTTTTGTTCGTCCTGGCCATTATTGAAATTATCAGCCAGTGCACAAACTCGCACGAACGCCAAATTTAGTTAGAGGGGCGATATTTTGACGCGTTTTTTTAATTCTTGGTCACTCAAGTTTAGAAAGAAAGGGGAGAAATCCATACAATTACCGACCAATCACAAACGTTGTTGCAAATTTGACCTTATGACGTCAAAGAATTTCCCATTATGCAATTATTGCATCTAAATGAAAAAATATACCATTCAAATAAAAAAATATTGCATTTAAATGAAGAAATATACCAATTAAATAAGAAATATTGCATTTAAATGAAAAATATCAAATTTTTGCAACCTATACCATGCCATATGGGATAAGTTAAGAATATGGCAGTTCATTTTCATTAGTTCCCTTGTTCGATGAAGTGTAATGTTTGATTTTGTCAGTTGTAATGGATTTCCCCTCTTGCAATTTTCATTTTTCTTAATTTTTGGTTTTTACATTTATAGAACGCCAAACTCTATTAAACTTTTGTTTTGTCAATCTTATAGCCAACCAAATCATATAATGCAGTGATATATATGTTAAACAGTAACATAAATGCATTTGTAATGTATATTTTCATACATCTTCTAATTCACGGTTTTATGCTTGCAACTACAAAACTTGGTTTAGCTATAAATTGCAATTTCGCATATTAAAATGACATAATGTAAAATACATCTTAGCAATAGATATTTTACAATCGTGCTGGTGAAGAAATGAACTACTAAAATGATATTCAAAGTATAACTGTGATAAAAAAAAAACTGACAAGAACAGAAAACAAAACATAACATAGAAAACTGAAACCTTTAAAACAGCTACCACAAAAACCGGGGTTGATATCATGTAAAACAGAAAGGTGGGGGAAACCTACTCCACAGATGAAACACCTCATGTTGCTGATATAAGTTCACCTTTGGTGGACAGTTTTACTTGTTGTACGACAACTGGAACCAATGCTTTAATGGAATTAAAGCTAAAGAATATTGTTTAAATCAGGAAATTGCTGGAATCTTGCTACATACATTGTAGATATGAAAACTCTCAACCGTACATGTAAATAGGTCAATTGGTTAATACATACCGTTTATTCGATCCAAATGCTCTTTAAAATGCATATGATCGCGCATTTATCTCGGAATTTATTCAGCATTTTAGACGACAAATTTACCATTTCTGTCTGCATTTAATGTATGATGCAATCTAGATATAATTGAAACATATATTACCTTTTTCCAAAGTTCGTCGAATTTTTTATTGAGCAATTTAAAATCTTGTTTATCTTCAAGTATTTGTTCCAATACATCTGTCTTTTCACCAAGAAAACAAGTGACAAATACATTCTAAAATATACAAACATTGAAAAAGCATAATGTAGCTTACTCTAAAAATCGTTTTTATATAGACATGGACATGCACTTTCAATGACAGATATACAAGATTCTTCACTTATTTGGTATTAAAGTTTGAGTATACTAGTAGAACTCGGCTTAAATTGGATATCATATTAGAATTTTTCGGGGTTTTTTTTTAGTCTTAAGCCCGTAGATTATGATAGGAAATATTTTGACTTGATGATTGTTTAAACAAACTTGTTCTTAAAAGATACTTATCTAACACCATAGTAAATTCTTTAACATTGTTTTGATCGGTACTGAGATTATTTTTGTTTTTGATTAATAACATTCTCTCAATATTGTGTACTCATCTTGTTGCAGTGTACAAAACTAAAAGTACGCGTTTTGCAGACTGCTTATGACAACTGACGACGCATTTACTGTCGATGCATTCGGTTTAACGTATTTTTTGTTATTTTGATGTGTTTTTCTTTTAAATATCATTACGAGATTTAAACATCAGTAAATAACTGGTAATGTCGCCTTAATTTACCCTTAATTAGTTGCATACGAACTGACTGATACTTTACTCTGAACAAAAACATGATACATTTTTAGTTGTAATTGACTTTTACATACATTTCGGTAGCTGCAGGTTTTCATAGAATCGTTCTTTGTTTTTTCTTTTTTTATGCTAGTTCTTTTTTTTATGATTTTAGCAAATCTTCTGAGTCAAGCCATTTTCATCTTGTTTTTAATTACCTTTTCCCCTGATTTTTACCAAACAAAGAAGACGTATCACACTGGGTTTGTACTTAAATTAGCAACACAAAGGATGCCACATGTGAAATAGGATCTTCTTATCCTTCATGGTCCTTGTATCACCCACGAGTTCTAGTGGGGTTTGTATTGCTCCGTCCGTAGTTGTCGATATTGTGTTTTTGTGTACTGTTATTTGTCTTTTTTTTTGTAATGGTTTTTATCTTCGATTTGGAATGTCCCTTTTGAAACTTTTACAATTACCTTGATTACACAACTGTCTCCGTTGTGGGGTGTTTGCACATGTTTGAACCTGTTAATTCTTTACGTGAGTGAGCATGTCATCTAATGGATGTCGTTAGTAGCTATCTGTTATGCTTTTTGTTTTTGGTAATTGCTTTCTCATAGATAAGACCATTGGTTTACCTCAATTAGTTCATGGCTACCAAGAAATATGCGTCTACGAAAACGTGATGATAAAAACAGACGACATTATAACAGTCAATAGGTGTCAACAAAACATGACACAAACATAAAGTTAATTTATTGCTTTGATAGAACATAAAATAACGAAACTACCGAACTCTAAGGAGACTCCGTTAACAAATGGCATAATCAAAATCAAAAACACTTTCCGGTGATAATTGGTATTAATCGCTGTATTACGACGTGGTTTGATTGAGAGAGAGAAAATAACGCTGATTTCAAAGGGATTGTTAAATCCTTGTCTAAGAGATTCTTAAAGATCTTGAAGTTGTACAAACTTGTTTATTTTCCTGTGTCCATTCAGTTTTTGAATTGTAACCTGCAAACAGCTCTCTTCTGGTAAGACAAGCAAGGTCAGCAACATACTCCGAAATATATACTCCTTCATTCAAAGGAAGATATTGCGTTTTCAAGATTTCTTCATCTGAAAAAAATATATAAACTTCAGCAATTTTTCTGTTATCTTAAAAAATGAGACCACAAAGATATACGTTGATATATATCTTTTGTGAGTTTAGATACATCAACATTGCCTCGATCTATCAATTTGTTAAGTTTAATATAAATCATTGAAATAGTTATTTCAAAGATAAAGGAAGATGTTATATGAGTGCCAATGAGAAAACTCTCCATCCAAGTCAAAATTTATAAAAGTAACCCATTATAGGTCAAAGTACAGTCTTTAACACGGAGCCTTGGCTCACACCGAACGGCAAGCTATGAAGGCCCCAAAAAGTACTAGTGTAAAACCATTCAAACGGGAAAACCAAATGTCTAATCTATATAAAAATCGAGAAACACTGATGAACCACATCAACAAACGACAACTACTGAAAATCAGATTCCTGACGTTTTAATGGTACCAAAGCTTCACCCTTATCTGAAACAATAGTGTAACATCACAACATATAAAAACACACTATAAAATATCAATTGACCTGCCTTAACTCAATCAAAGGACATAATAATACAAGTGAACATACACTGAACGAATAAAGTTGACCCTCCATTTTAGTTGTATCCACTAAGAGAGATATTTTTCCGTCGATTTCATTTTGTGTTTGTACCTTTTGTTTGACAATCATATAAATGTTAAAAGAGCATCAAGTACAATTAAAAAAAAAAAAACATAAATCCCTTTTTTCTTTGTTTCAAAAATTTATTAGCCTTAACACATTAGTAATGGTAAAAAGAGGCAACAATAGTATACCGCTACTTTATAGTCATATATGGATTAAGCGAAAACGAACCAGGATCACAAAACAAACCCGAGAGAAACACATCAGCCATAAGAGGAAAACAAATGGTCAACAGAAACACTGAACTGCTACAAAAACAAACGTCAACATACATAGAAACAGACTCGTTGATAATAAATGCCATTTCTGACTTGGTAATTGACATTTAAAAAAAACAATGGCGGGTTGAACCTGGTTGTATGGCTAGCCAGACCTCCCATGTAGATGGCAATATTAAAAATATTGCTAAAATGACTACATGACGTGACAGGAATACAGTACAAATAAAAGTAAGAACACTCAGGACAGAGAAATACATATGAAATAATATAAAAGTTCATTACATCATGAAAACCTCAGAATAACAACAGACGCCTCTCATGAATTTACGATAGTTTACCAGTTCACCACACTAACATTATGAATTGTGCGTCACACAAGTGTATCAACATCATAAAAAGACGTGTTTCTTACGTTTCTAATCACAAGTTTATTTTTTAAAATATTAAATAAAATTGAGATGAGGTTATTTTGGTTTTATTTTGATGTTATTTCATGGATTAATGGCTTGCAAGTCAATAATTTAACACATTCACGCAGATTAAATAGGTTTGTCAGTGATCATCAATTTGCCAGCTATTATCCTTTTAAAACCAGTCAAATTAAATGTTTACTTTTTTTATGCATAAAGACAAACGTCAAATCACAAAAATACTGAACTCTGAGGAAAATTCAAAAAAGAAAGTCCATAATGAAATGACAAAATCAAAATCTCAAACACATCAAACGGATGGATATCAACTGTCATGTTTCTGACTTTGTACAGACATTTTCGTATGTAAAAAACTGCGGATTGAACCTGGTTTTATAGCTAGCTAAACCTCTCACTTGTATGATAGTTGCATCAAATTCCATTATATTGACAACGATGTGTGAACAAAACAAACAGACACAATCGGTAAAAATGTCAAAAATAGGGGTACAGCAGTCAACATTGTGTTATCATCTGAATCACTATAAAAACAATCAAATGTAACAAAGAAGCAGAAAAAGGCATACATCAAATTTATCAATCTCATTTTGCTTTTTTATTTCACGATTTTATTTATCTAGTATGTAAAATCTACCCATACAGGATTGAAAGATTTAAAGTTCTTGGACCGAATCCTTAAACTGACAGTCACATGATTAGATTAACATTAACTCTTACGTAGAATCGCGCGTTTGACGTCACACAGGTAGATATAAAATAATGTTGTCGTTCAAAGTATGACGGGATACATAAGTACAGAGTCACCTCAAAGTGATATCACAAAATACAGTAATATTAATAAAGATAAATAAAACAATACTATAACACTCTATTAAGATGATAAACAACGTCAGTACGGAGAATCTATACTTCAAGACCATCGTGTATTATTCGTGAAGTTTATACGGAATATTTATGAACAAGGTCTTGGTACCTTCCGATGAACGTTTTTTAGACAAAAGACGAGACGTTCTTTGACACATGTTTGATGTACCCCCGGTTCATCAACTTTCTGCTTAGACACTAGTGACGTTTTGCAAAGTCTGAATAGGAGCTGCAAGCTCTTGAATACCGAAGAAGTTGAGAAAATTATATCCCATATGCAGGTGAAGTTGGTATATTACTACCAAGGTTGGGGAAATTGATAATTTCTAAATTAGAATCGACTCGTTTGTCATACATTCTGGTACTGAGATGACTGTGTATTCGAGCTTGTGCTTTTGGTCTGATTATACAATTTTGTACTCTGGTAAAATATGGTATACCAGCAGCTAATCTGATGAAATTATGGTCATGATACAAAGAAGTTATATTCACGATAGAAAAAGCACATAAAATATGATGAGTTATCAAAATGAACAAACCTTAAGTGCCAGTCTGCCTAAGGATCAGGCAGTGACCAAAACATGATAGTCTCAGATTTTCATGAAAACTTGCAAAAATCATCTGAATAACATCTTATAAAGAAGAAAACTACTTTTCAGACCAATTACATATGGTTGCTATGGAAACATATTCATTTGATTTTTCCAAAGAATGAATTATTGAGATTAGCATAAAACTCACAGTTTTTCACTATTTCAGTCTCACGAATACTGCTGTTCATATAATATGTAGTATTTCTCCATTGTACTGCAACTTTTTCAACTATCAAATATTCTTGAAGAACAGCTGTTTTGATGACATTCTATTTCATTCTAGAAATTTTGGGATACGGATGGTCTCCATGGACCATTATGTCCAAAAAAGCCAAAAAAAAGGCCAGAAATCAATGTCAATTTTTTTCTATTACCAGAACAGCACATACATGGTGTTACTAAATATGGAAGAAGTAGTGGTCATACTTTTACTATTTCATAAAAGCTCGGTGTTTTTTTTCTCCAAATATTGAGTAACCATAGCAACAGAATTAACCCTATAGCAACAAAGCTAAAAAAAACCAAATTGTAACAAATGTATTTAATATTTAAGTCTAAATACATATAAATGGACTAAATATGATTTATTGTCAATTGTTCCTGGTTTTGGCCGGAAAGTATAACATAGCAAGCGAAAAATGTCCCTAGCAACCAAAATGAACAAACTTATTTTTTTTTTTTTTTTTTTTATACAAAAATATTCTTCATTTAAAAAAGTGACAATTCAGTGGTCAGATATCAATCATTTCTATATAAAATAAGTAAATTATACAATATCTACATTCCATTAGCAACAACCTAAACCCCCTAGTAACAAAATAGATTCTTACCTGCCAGACCTAGATAGACATCTATCCCTTACAATCATTCCATACACCTCACATAGTTGACCTACTGCTTATAGTATAAGAGAAATGAACCAATTCATGCATGTAACTTTAACCTTGATCACTGATCCATGAAATGAGGTTGAGGTCAGGTGAACAATATCTGACCGACATGGAGACGTAGCAAGTAACCAATATACCAAATATAATTATCCTAATATTATTCATAATAAGTGAAAAATTCACATGACCAAAAAACTAAAAAAAAATTCAAGCAGTCAATGAACCATGAAAATGACTTGAGGTTCAGGACATTGGCCATATAGAAACTTTGTAACATAAGATATCTGCACACAAGGTCTTCTTATTTATATTAAGAATCCAGGTCTTCTACCTTCTCAAATATAATAGTTGACTCTGCCACCGTCGGATAGTGATGCCTTTGTCTGGCATACTGCGACACTGCGAGGCAAAAATGTATGTCATAATAAACATGCAACATTTAAAAAAAACATAATAAATTGCACAAATTATTGCATTCATTTATTATTATATTTTTAAAGATAACGGACAAAATTAGAGACTAATTTATGCTAACACAGGAAAAGCTCTTCCAAATTCTGATTTCAGAATACAAGTTCTTATCATTGAGATACTCAACCGATCTCAACATTCAAATGTTTTTAAAACTTCTGTCAAATACATGTTACTCCTGACTTTACAGTTTTCCGATTGTTCAGAGTCTTCTTATATTCATCATGTCTTATTATTTTATCTGTCATTCAGATTTGGTATATCTGTTCTTTAGGTTCAAACATGACTATAAATTTTCTCCATGAAAAGAGGCTAAGTTGTCATCCATTAATTTGAGTACATGTATGTGGACAAGCGGACCAATTTATAATATGTGCCAGGTGGACGATTTTTTTTTTTTGTTTTTTTTTTTTTTTTGCTTACCGGTGATTTTGCAATCACTCGTCATTTTTCCCTTTAGAAATATCAAAAGTATTTCTTTATTTTTTTTCATTTAAATATGTAAAATGTACACTTTCTTTTAGACGATAAAGAAATCGACTGATTTTGACGATTCAAGTAAATTTTTACTCCAAAATTAACAGTAAGGATAATTTTTTGAGGCCTCTAACAAATCACAATAACTTAAGGATATTTTGACAAATCACGGTAAAATTTTAACGAATTTGACGCTAATGGCAGCCTTAAATGACCGTTTGACGCACGACGGTAAAGAGCATTCCTACCTTCAAATAAAACTATCTTATCATAAGTGGTTTACTGATCTACATGAAATCACAAAGTTTAAAATGTAAACTAGTTGATAAAATGACAAGATCAATAGACCATGACTAAGGGCCGCAGTAAGGGGACAGGACAAAATAATCTCCATGGGTCTAAGATGCATCAAATTGAATGCTTATGCAACTTTAAATCAAAAAATGTTGCTGACAATACACGTGTAGGTGATTTCTGCATAACTCTTGTTTCGCATTGGCAAAATTTTACCTAAGTACATGTAGTTCCAGCAGTAAATGTAGGTCATATTGACCTAGTTCTTGTTGAACATAACATATATATACATGTATATCCTATATCATAAGATGAATTCACCACTTGCTCAAAACTGAACCAATGAACCAACATGCAAAAATCTTTTTGTAAATCAGCATTTGCATACTGACGGGGAAATCTTTAATAACGAGCTGTCCCGTTGTGGATGGGGATGAAAAAAAACATCTTGTAGCTGAAGTAATTCTTATCTATTTCTAAAATCACAAAATCATGTATAAAAAGATATTTCACCTAAAAATATGGACCCACTAGTGTGAGTGGGTTGAAGTAAACATTCAATAACTGGAATTTACTGGTATACATATAAAATATCTAAATTCAAATAATTTGTAGCTCTGCAATTCAATAGTCTTCTGTAAACAGTTCTGTCAAATATCAAAGGTATGTGTCTTACAAATCAACTCAGCAATTCAGCAAATCCCTGAAGAAAAATTTGTTAAGTCTGATAAAAATATATATACATGTACATGAATATGAATGAAGGAATGATATTATTTATACAATACAAATTTCTTTGTAGTTCTTACTTCAGACCAATGCAATAAGTGACAAATAACATTAACTAAGAAAAATAATTTCCCTAAGTACAAGTTATGCAAAATATGTTTTTAACTCCTGAGAGCTAGAGTTTCAAGGCTTTGGGTTAAACAATTTTGGTAGATTCAAAAATTATAAATCAGGTATTGGGCCTAAGGCAGACCAAAAATGTGTGTGTGTTTAAAGTACTAAAAAAACTGACCCTATATTTTATGATTAAAAATGCCTGGAAAGTTTTACTTGTCATTTTTAAATAGCACTGATAAAAACAACATATTCCTCTCATTAAGCCAATAACTGAATAAGGTACGGTTAAATCATCAAATAAAAAATATTTCCGTAATTTGTAGAAGGCCTATTTGAAAAAAAATTAGTTGTTCATTGGATAACCTTACCTATGCATAAACATTTCTGTAAGTTTTTAACAAGCCCTATTTATATTGCGTCAAATTATTTCCCCTTTTTAAACTGGTCAAAAACTTTAAAAAATATTTTTCCTACATATCTAACCTAATTCTTTCTGCTGCAAATCGAAACACTGGTGCTATCTTTTTAGGCCTAAATGCATCATAATGTATGAAACTTAAACATTTGCTTTCAAATACATGTGAACCTTCCTTTAGAAGGGCAATAATTCATTTGTCAGGGCCAGTGGTCTTCTTCAGTTTACAAAAGTAGTACAAACTCAAATTTTGGCATTATTACTATTTTTTCTAAACATCCTTTATAAAATATGAGAAAAAAAAACAGTTTACTTCTTTTCAATCTAACAGAAAAAATCTGCCAAAAAACAAAATATGAATCTGATAATGAGCCCCCCCCTCCCTTTTTTTTATATTCATGTTGAACCTAAACCATTTTCAATTTTACAGTAAAATATATAATCGGGGAAGAGAATGGTGTATGACCAAAATTATCTTTTGAATACATATAATAATAATATGTAAATAGTGTACCTTGTAATTCTGTAAAACCTAGAAGAAAGGCCCTGCTCATCTGGAAAGGCACTGTTCTAGCTGGCTTTGATCCTTCCTTTGTGAGACGGTTGTGCACAACCAACATTCCTTTTCTTTATCTCATGCATAATCCTAAGGTTAGTTGGTGTTTTCGACAAACAAAGGATCCCAAACAAATGTGCATGAATGAAGGGGGAAAAGATCCCAATATTGTAAAAATTCAATTTTTCCTCCGACTTCATTTTTGCATATTTTAATCCTAGGGAAGTGGTTCAACAATTCTATTACATTGTCCAATAAGCTTGTTGTCTTTTCATCCTTAGAATACTGTGAATTCCAACATTCGTCGTCAGATAAGATTGAAAAACCACAGTTAAACATTGTCTGCCACATGCATGACACTAGTATTGTTTACACCAAAAGAGTTATGCTAGGAAAAGTAACTCTGTAATTTGTGTTCTTTCATGAACAATTGGATTGACTAAAGGTCACATATTTTGTGGGTGAGAAGACTATTTGAAATATGTAATGTTTTGAATTTTTTAGAATTTGCCTGATTCTCAAACAGACTGGCACTTAAGAAGAAAATTATACTTGATATATTACTAGTACATATGATTATATATATATATAAGCTTAATATGAATGTAAACGAGATTCTGATTAACCACGAACTATAAAAATTGACATTTAAAATTTAGTGTTTGCATTTCTTTTTAATTTGTTTTAATATGAACATGATAAGAAAACAATCACTAGATGGCATTATCATTTTACAATCCGACGTTTTGATATTGTATCTGTTCACTCAGAAAACAACATGACAGACTTAAAGTTCCTTTCTGTTATAAGGTTAAAGATTGTGGTTATACAGGATATATTAGGATTCATTTCAAATCTAAATATATCGTTTTTAAGTACAAGGCATAAACACCAAATTTTAATTTCAAACAAATTCGTTTAGTAGTTTGTAGGAATATATATACCGTGCTTTTCTTCAAACGACCATGCTCGTAACATTCCATCAGTAATTCGTTCCCATAACGTGTCATGTTCATCTATTTTAATGTCAAACACTGAAATCTGTAAATGATAACAAAAAGTTGAAAAAACAAACTGTAACTGACAAGTGTCTATTTTATTCACCATGCATTTGCAATTTGTTTTGCTTTTCAATAATAGAACATTTGTATGTATTTGAAAAATAAGATTAGAGTATTTGTGCTTCTGTCCTATAATACGTCATTGTTTCAACCGTCTAAAGAATTGTTTATGTCAATTGTATTATGGCTTTAAGGAATGATTGTAATATTTTTTCTGTTTATGAAGAAATAACATTAAAAATGTGGTGCACACTGAATAACCCGCGTAGCTGGTTATTTTCAAGTGTGCACCACATTTTTTATGTTATTTCGAATAGGCAGAAAAAATATTACAGTCATTTCTTATAATTTAATTCTAAATTCCATTTTAAACCTGAGTAAACCATGAAAAAACGTTGATGACGTCACGGTCACATGACAAAATTATGTCTATGAGCTGATAAACAAAACAACGTCAGCCAATCAGAAGACGCGTTACATCCACAATTAAATTATTAACAAACGTAGTCCATACATTTTCTGTTTTTCGTCTGGTAAATGTATGTAGAAAACCAAGATACATACCTAAATATCGACAACAGTAGAACTCATAAATTAATAACGAATAGAACTCACCGATATAAACAAAAACTAGATTTTCATTACCTTAGAAAAAGTTCAATGAGACGACGTACTTGTTTTTTTCGATTTAGCATAGAGAATAGTATTGTAGTGTAAAGAATAGAAAAAATCAGTTAAATTGGAAAACATCGCATGTAGGTTTTAAAAGAAATATTTTTTAGAAACAAATTCTGACAAACAGCGATAATTCAAAATACTTGTATCTGAAATGGAGGTAATGTTTAATTTTTTACAAACATGTTAATGATATTACGTCAGAAGTAGGTGTAAAAAGTTCAAGTTAGTTGATATTACTACATCTTGGACAAGACAAACCTCATACAACAATAATTGTGTATTTGCATCAAAACATTTAAGTCAATCAACAATTAAATAGAAACACAAACAAGACCATACTTAAAAGTCATACGAAATTCTTGCAATTATAATGTTTTCGAAATTATAAGAACAATGAATGCATATATACTTAATTAAATCCTGTCTGCACGGTTTTTTGTTTTTTTTTTTTTGTTTTTTTTTTGTTTTTAATTCATTACGCATCTTTTTATCGCGTATCATCGACATACAACATCTGATTTACTAATTGTTGATCGCAAGTTAATTAAAACTTGAGTCTATCAACAGTCAACACTGAGCAAGCTATGCACGTAATAAAAAGGTGAATTAATAGAGCTATGACATTTAGTTTTTTTTCATTTCCATGCGTTACCATTTGTAAATTTAATGTTCCTCAACAGTTGTAAAGGAATAAAAATAAGCGTTGTTCATTTGTTCTTTAAAATGATATGTACCTTTTCTGGTGCACGTTTGTTAACACTCGTATGTCGCAGTTTCCCGCTCTTATTTGCGCTGACGTTCTAAACAACAGAGAATTCGTAGTTAAGGTCACTGCATATGGGAAAATAACAGTACGGAAAGGTAATAATTCCATAGCATAAAATTGAGAATTTAAGCATTATTTTGTTTGATTACACTTTTTATATTTTTTTATGAAAAATAAATAAATACCATCCATTCCCTTTGAACGATCAATTTGATGACTTCCTGTATCTTGTTAAAAAGTGATTTGGTGAAACGTCTAGCAAACATTATTGGTAGTTCTCTCTTTAGGTTTGCAAAGCTACATATAAAAACAAATAACAAAATCTTAAAATATGCATTTACTTCAAATAGAACATCAACATATAACTTCAAAATAGATTTTGCGTGTGCAAGATAATAATTTACCATCAAAACTGCATTCATAATTTGTTTTTGAATTGAAAATCATATGATTTAATTATCGGACAGTGACTATAACAGTTAGTCATCACGATAGATTTTAGACTGTTGTGAATGAATTGAGTTATACTTGAATTATGTTTGGTATCCCTTTATTAGATATTATTGTATAATTAAAATGACGAGGTTGTTGAGCAATACAGTGGATCACGTATAGTGTAAAATATTGTGTTTATTTTTTTTAAATATCATTTCAAAACCCATTACAAAGTGTTGTCTTATGTGATAAACAAAGATATTTTGCTATTTTATGTATTGCTGATTATATATACAACCAAGTCTAAATTGAAACCAACGTTCAAACCTATGATTTTGTTGGATAAAAAGCCGCAATTTTTATACGTGTGCATGTAAAACAAATGTCTTGGTAGAGGGGTCTAATTACAGCAAAAAAAACATTTTCCAAAAGACCAAAAAAGTGAAAAGTATATTTTAACAAATCGCATTTGACAAACAGGTCAAACAACTGATCTTCTTGAACCCTGCTGGCTTTCATTGCCGATTGCCAAATAAATAGATCACGAGATGTATCATATATCTTAATTATTAATTTAATACTTAATAGAAAACAATAAACTTGCGGAGAAGATGATATACCGCAAACACGAGGTGCAAAAATTTGTACATCACATCCGGATTTCGACAATTAATGTCTCTTCAATGATGTTAGAGATCGAAACGTTATTTGGAAGGCCATATAATTTACCTCAATTTAGGATAGACTCCTAAATGTTAAAGAGCCGAAATAGGATGAACGGATCATATTAATCTGAAGGAAATATAATATGATTATATATATATATAAATATAATTATCTGTCTGGGGAAAACTTTTGAAGATCAAGAACAAAGAGAAAAAAAGGTCAATGTCATTTGATTATGTATCAAAGCTAATCAAATAAATTCAGAAATAACATGTGCACTTCAAGTTTCAACAGTTATTGTATGCAAATTCGAATTCAAAGGTTATTTATACACAGCTACTTTAGTACAAGTAATCTTGATGTACAGTTCTAAGGATGCATATTAAATGTACATCTGTAAAGCTGTATATAAAATGTACAGCTGTAAAGCTGTATATAAACTGTACATCTGTAAAACTGTATATAAACTGTACATCTGTAAAGCTGTATATAAACTGTACATCTGTAAAACTGTATATAAACTGTACATTTTTAAAGCTGTATATAAACTGCATCTTGTATGAAACGATATCTATCCACAGTTGATATACATTTTTACAGATGTACAGTTGATATACAGCTTTACAGATGTACAGTTTATATACAGCTTTACAGATGTACAGTTTATATACAGCTTTACAGCTGTACAGTTTATATATAGCTTTACAGATGTACATTTGATATGCAGTTTTTGAACTGTACATCAAGATTTTTTGTACTAAAGTAGCTGTGTAGCAAGTTGTTTTGCTTGATACATGTTAGAGATAATACTTTAACATGCCTGGATGTAAAACGTGTCCCCGATTTTTTCTTTACGATAAGGGAATAACAAATTAATTCTGAGTAATTTTCTTTCGTTGAACTTCTGGTATCAGTGTTTTTTCAACTTAAATATCACTCTTTCGTATATACATGTATGTCTTTTTTATTATTAAATCATCAATTAAGCTATTACTCCTTTAAGCATAACGCAATGAGGTCTGCAGCTCCCCCAGTTCCTTTTACAACCACTACTGACATATCACTGTATATTGCTCTCAAAACATGTTCTAAGGTGTCTAAATCACCATTCAGCACTAATAAGGCAACTGGAACTCGAATCGCTGAAATAAACGTTAGCCATGAATATTATTCCTATCTAGCAGTCAACAATTATAGTCATGCAGCTACAGTATATGTTAACCATATAATCAATTAAAAAAGTAAGAAAATGTCCTCACAAATATTGGTATGCATGGTTGCCAAAGCAACCAAGTCAATGTTTCTTCCCGTAAATGTTTGGGATATACATAGCAAAAATAAAAAAAAACTTTAAATTCATTGTGAAGCAAGACAAGATTTAAATTTTATTGTTTCCTGCTCTTTGGTCGGCCGGTTGTTGACTCGTTGATACATTCCCTTTTCTCATTCTAAATTTTATGTTTGTTAAAAAAAAAATGCAGAAACATGATACCAAACCATCAAAACTGCAAATGCCATATATGAAAATATGCTGTCTGATTATTGTTACAACCCAATGATAAGGGATAATTATTCGCCGTTCTTGTAAGGGCAAATTTTACACACTTTTTGATAAACCAAAAATACATGTTTGCATCAACCTCTATCTAAATTATGGAAATAAATATAAAGTATAATATTTTTCTTGTCAAAAACTTACAATACATTTATGGGACTCAAAGTTATCAGATGTGAAATGTTATGTTAGGGATGCCTTTTTTTCTCTATTAATCTAATCAATATTCATTTGTTTGTTCATTCCCCTCCCTCTAATCCCTTTTCAAATGTGACATCTATTCCAATATCCGTGTTTGATGTTTGTAGTTTACAAACATCAAAATTATGTATTGTGTAAAATTATTTCCTTTCTCCATTTAAACTGTATAACTAACAACAAAATTATTTTCATTTACCTGTATATAATATTATTGTAAATGGCGGATTTTTTCAAGGTTATTGTTGTTTTTCTAAAATTGTTTAACATTTCACAGCGGTATAATACTTTTACTTTAATTATTCATCCCTTATCATATTGATTTTGTATTTACATTATATCATATATCAAATTTATTCGTTCAGTGTATGTTCACTTGTGTTAATATGTCTTTTGATTGAGTTAAGCCATTTCAATTGATATTTTATAGTGTGTCTTTCTATGTTGTGATGTTGCACTATTGTTTCAGATAAGGGTGAAGGTTGGTAGCTATAAAAATGTTTAAACTCGCTGCATTTCATTGCCCCTGTCCTAAGTCAGGAATCTGATGTTTTGTATTTGTCGTTTGATTGTGGTCATAAGTCTTTCTCGTATCTCGTTTTGTATATAGATTAGACCGTTGATTTTCATGTTTGAATGGTTTTACACTAGTCATCGTTGGGGCCCTTTATAGCTTGCTGTTCTGTGTAAACCAAGGCTCCGTTTTGAAGACCGTACTTTTACCTATAGTGGTTTGCTTTTGTAGATTGTGACTTGGATGGAGAGTTGTCTCATTGGCACTCATACCACATCTTCTTATATCAATATACACATTTGTTTCAAACGGTTAATACAATGTTTAGTTAAAATATCTTTAATATTTGACGGAAACAAAGTTTATGTAGAATGGTTGAGTGTATTTTGTTTGAAAACAATTATATATTAAGTGGATAGGATACAGAAAAAGTAGTACCGTTCATGTCATTTTATGTACCTGTGCTCATGAATTGCCTCTAGATGCCGCTTATCAGTCGTTTTGAAAGTGTGCGTAAAGTTTTATTAAGTTGATTAATCATTTGTTTCGGGCTTAAGCTCAAAACCAAATGATTTGATATGCAAAGGTTAAATTGGTCAAAGGACTTGAATCAAAAAGCGAAATGCCTAAGGACAACTTATTCGTTAAATGTTTTATACATTATTGAAATATTAATTATATATAAATAGCGAAGCTTAGCTCATAGTAAAACAGTGATGTTTAACAAAATACATACGCGCAAGCAATGGTTACTTGGTAGATCTTACAATAAAGGTTTAGTTGGTAGATGTTACCATCAGGGCTTTACTGTCTTGAATATCAGTCTAGCTTATACGTGTAGCACACTTTATTTCTTAGAATTGTCTATTCAGTTTTTGTAGTCAAGTACAACATGTAAATTAAATTTCAAGTAAGATATACTATTCTTAGAGGGAAGCTTCAAAGTAAACTTGATAACATAATACACAGTGTACTCTTACTTGACAGCTTATCGAGTGCCTTTTGTCCATCTTCAAACGGTACCTGGCCTGTTGAGTTGATATAACTTTCGAGTTCGAGTAACTGAAAGTTATATTCACAATTGTACATAATTAATATTCTGCATACAATAAACAGGTATATATCAAATGTGTGGTTTCACTTATAGCATACATTTTTTTGCCAGATGTAATCTTCACCAAATTTAAGATAAAGTCTTCCTGATCTTGGAAGCTACTTATGTATTCACACGTTAGAGGTATGAAATATAATGAATATCTTGAACACAAAAGTAATGGAAAGAAGGATATAACATATATGGTGATTATATATCGATACTGAATATGTAGTGGAACAAGTGTAAGCATTTGTTTACAATTTCCAGTGACTTGATAGTAAATAGACATACTATTCATCTCCACTAATTAGCCAAAAATATATAGACTGTCTAAAAGAAAGTATAAAATATATCATCTATTCCAATCGAGTTATATTTTTTATTACATTTCCCTCTGTTATGCAGATATCGACTAACAATCTTGAAGTAATTGCACATAATACAAGATACGATATTACATCTGCAATATGTATAAGTACACCGTCAGGTAACAAATAGTTCATCAAGCTTACCGTGTTTTCAAAGCATTCATTGACAAGCCTTGTGTGCAATTTGATTGCCTATTCTCCTATTTTGTCATCCATACTTTACTTGTTACGAACAAAACGACGAGTGGAACAAGTTTCATAGGTGAATCAGTACCTATCTTCCCTTGCGGAGTACAAGAAGTCACTCCGTTTTTTTTTTTAATAAATTCGAATAATTGTCTATTTTTTTCATGGAGTATTTTGTAGACGATCTTAATTTTTTTTTCGTTGTTTTGTTTGTTGTTGTTGTCTTTAACCTATATGTGGTTTGTTGGTTCTCTTTGACAGATGGATATCGAATATCCTTTCTGTATCTTTCGCCTCTTTAAAATGTAAAATATGCATTTTAAGTCGAGAAGGCTAGTGTGATTTTGAATAATTATGCCCTCTTTTTGTTTAATTAAATAAAGAAATAGTCTGGTACATTTTATCTAATTAATATAAATTTATCAGGTGGTGACTGTGTTTGATTTTATTTGAAAAAAACACGACTGTATAGCTTATAAAACAAATTCATTAGATTATACAAACGCATTCTACTTACTTCTATATCATCTTTAAAATGCCTACGTGTCCATTGTGTAGGTTGCTGTTTGTTCTAGGAAAGAAAAAAATATAAGCAATTTAAGAAAGGAATTATTTATTTAAAACACAAGGCGATGGTTGCTGTCCAGATGTTTGCGCCATAGCAATTATATTGCCATGTCAAATTGTAAGAGTATGCTTTTTACTGACGATCCTTTATTTTTAATAGCATTTGCAGAAGAAACATTCAAATACAATTTAGTTGATACTTCTGGTGGACTGCCTCTCTAAACGGTAATCTTAGATCCGCATTCAGTGATTTGATACGTACATGATTTAAAGCATACTTTTCTTGAAACATGTGTGGTGTAATTTTGAAATAGCTAAGGCAATATGCGGATCCAGGGGTGTGTGGGGCGGGGGCCACTTTTCTGGGTAAATTTTGGTTGATTATATAGGGAATCACTAAAGCATGACTCGAGCGGGCCCCACACACAAACACATTATGAAAATGTCTGGACCCGCTCCATGATCAACATTACCGTAAATTGAAAAATTTTGGCTTCGGGATATTTTGGCGGTTTTCTGTCGAAAGGCATGTATTTTATTTTTGGTATGTGTAATTTTGGTGCTTCGTCCAATTGAAATGTTCAGTTTTGGAACAATAGTAGTGAGCAAGCTCATTCATACACATTTGCTTTTATTTACCCGTTTATTGACAAAATATCATTGAATTTCTCATACTACAAACACAACAAAGTTAACTAAATGAAGGAATCAGATACGGATGGAATTGCAAAAATTCCGTATATCGTCGTTCGAAGCTGAAAGAAAATACGAGATAAAATCTTTAAAATCACTTTTTCAATAGATCATTTACTTTTTACAAATATCGTATGAATTAAAATTTAAACTATTGCAGTACATGTTAATCTCTTGATGATCAAGGATTTAAATTTTAATCCTTATGCCTCTGACAGTACATGTTAATTAATTGAAGATAAAGGACTACAAGCAGTTTTGATATTCTAATTACCAATACAGGAGTCTAATCAGCAATAGTACTTGTGTGAATAAAAGTTCATGTTGTGTTTTCTTAACAATTTCAGAAAATTGACAATTAAGTTAAATTGTATAATGTTGTTTTCAAATTATATCAGGTATTTATTTGCAGATTTGGCTATGTATAGAATTGTAGGAAATATACGGAAGATATAATAACATAAAATGTTTTCCCCAACAATTAACATAACGATATTGTCATACCGATTTTGGCGTTTCAATTTTTAGTGTTTGCTTTATTTTCGTGTGTTAAATTTTGGCACTTTCATTGGAGGCACCAAATAAACCAAAATAAAACTACAACAAAAAAAAACAATTTACGGTATCAGATACAACTTTTTGATTATATATATAGAAAGATTTAGCTTTGAAATTGAATTTCTGGGTGGTGACAAAGATATCAGAGAAGTACATCGGACACATATATTTAACTTTCGTTATTTTGAATGTCCTTCTGCTTATGAATAACTTAACCCATCCATTAAACTTAAGACAAATTGTTTTATTGCCATATTATAATTGTTATTTAACTTCAATTTTGTTTAAGGGTGTTATTTGTCTTTTTCAATGATATAAAGTAATGTTATCAATGTACACACCAGAAATTTAGACCTTGTAGGTTATTTTTGAACACATCAAATAATGTATTGCCAAAATATTGTACTCACTTCTATTATTTCTTGTTCGTGCTTTTCGTCATTCTAAACCAAAATAAAATGATTTACTTCATATATGTGATCATTTAAACATGTTCGAATTCCATTACTGGCCTTAACATATGCTTTGTTTATATAGGTTTGTAATATTTGTCATAAAATAATAATGTAAGACACTTTGTTTTTGTATTACCAAGTGTTTTGTCATTTACTTGAATCCGTTTAAATCTATGAAAGCGTGTACTATGACTACTTAAGCACCTACAGTCCAGTAGTCAATGTTTTGTTATTGTTCATTACTAACACAAAGCATTTATAATATCTATCTAATTTTCAGGTTAATGCATGTTTTTTTCTAATTTAAGAAAAGGCTGATGACTTACCACTCCAACATGCATAAAGGAATTTGCAAGGTGTGCATTATATTTGTTTTTTAAAATGAAAATGATTAAAATCAGCTTTTGAAGATATATTCAGATTATAAGAGCCGTTCAAAATTTATCTATGAATATATCTTACTAAAAGATGCACGGAGAAGTATCCGTATGTTTGTGGTAAACCTTCAATTGCACAAGACTTTTTGACAATGCTTTGTAGAAAATCTGTATCTTCTTCTTTAAATATAAAACCACAACCTATTTAAATTTGAAGGTTTGATTAGTAACATCTGCATTAAACAGTTCATCGATATGGTTATTAGTCATCGTAATACGCTAAATATGTTTTCGAAAGGTATAAAATTTTCAATTTTGTTCGAGATTAATGTTTCTACAGAAAGACAAAAAAATCAGAGAAAAATATACGATGACATTTGTTCTTGCAACCCTAAAATATTATCATGTGTGAGGATATCAAAAAAAAAGAATTGAACAATCATATTACCTCTGTCCATTCATTAACATTGATAATTAAGATACGAAATAGAAAAATAGCCTTAGGAGAATTTCTATAGTATTCTGGTATGTTTTTTCAAAAGGAAATACTATAGTTTTAACAGTAGGTCATAACAAGAATTAGAACCTAATTACGAATGAAATACTAGTAAGCGATTATGTACATTTTTTACATGAATACTTATTTGTATTTTCTATATGTGTGAACGATTGAATAGGTTCTTTATACATGTAGCTAAAGGTATAATGTCAAATGTTCAAAAGCTGCCCCAGGCGGTAGAGTCTTGATAGATTCCCCAATATATATTTATTCTTTTTATTACATATTGTAATCTACGTCTTCAATATAGCAAAGTATTTATTCACGTTGGTGCATGTTCTATGAAAGCATACATACATTGCTAAAAAATCCTTAATTTTAGTCTATGAAACTGTATGCAAGAGTTCGTTTTGATATGAATTGTGTATTATGCATTGAAATTCCTAAGTTCAAGCTACATTTATAATTATTATGAGTTGTAGGTAAAATAATTTTACTTCCAGCATATCTTGCCACATGGTTAAGGGCTTTAATAAACAACGAATGGTCAGCCCATGCATACGATGGCATCCTTTCATTATAAGCACCTATCACAGAAACAACTATTCTTGGCTCGCCACAATTCTTCATCTCAATCCAAATCTGTTCTGGAGGCGGAGTTGTTGATTTCTACCGACATACACATGTGTAAATAACATTTTTGACAAAATAATATTTTTACAATTATATTGTTTGTATTTGGATTTACACTTATCACGACATACGGGCAAACTACTGACTATTGGAAAAGTCTTTCCTATATATCATTTGATCATTGTTTGACCATTTTTTTTTTTAAATCATATGAAAAGTTACATCTACATTCATAAATGTATTTCGTTTATAGAAGTTGCTGTTGTATAAATCATCCCATTTAGAGCTTTGCCCATTTAGCGAGTAAAAATACATTTTATGAGAACAATTATAATTATCGAAGCACATAATCGAACTACTCATCATCATTAATAACGTTGATAAGATGCAAATTTAGAATTATTTTCAGTTCGAATCTCAATATTCACTGACATACCATTATTTCCTTTTTTTTTCAAGAAATGTAAATAAAGGTAAAGGCAGCTGATCAATTTTTTTTTATGCATTATTTGAATCATTTAACATTGCCATATGTAACCCATATGTAGCGAATGGAGTAGGAGGTTCGTTGACTGCATTATATTTTTCCTTGATTTCTCAATGTTCTCAACAAACTTACTCCTAAAAGATTTATCAACGTTATAACGTATCTTAATGCCATCGACAAAATCATGCTACAAGTTGAATGGCACACATTGAATCTTGATTAAAGGATACAGTGATACATATGAAGCGATCGAATATTTACTACTTTCATGTGTTAATTCGTTTTTACCTGTGTATCTTCTGTTGAAGACTGTTGTGTATCAACAAACTAAAATAATGAAAAAGTTGTGTCATAAATTATAAAAAAAAATCTTATTAAGATGATACAGAACATTATGAAGCTATTTCTAGAATTATGTCCGAGAACTTTATGTCGAATTAAAACAAAACAGCAGACAAACATAAAACTCAACCATAACCCTAAAAGAATTTATATGGTGAGAGCATTTTAGCAGTAACTTTGTGTTTCGCGCTAAAAATTTTGCACTGTTCACTGTTTTGTCCGAAGACTCTAGATCTGTTCACTGTGTTTACCCTTATACTCTACAATTCGTTTTTTTTTTCTTGTGAGATAGCAGGTCGTACTACACAAAATGTGTATGTTAACATGCTTTTATCTGGATTGATATGTCTTCATTGCAATCATATCGTATTTCTGTATTTTTATATTACAACAGTTTATTTTTTTACCTAGTTTTAAGTGAATATAATATAAAAAAAACCCACAAGGTAGGAACAGACAAATACTTGTAAAGATATAAAATTAAAAATATGAAAACACGTTTACCTCAAATGTTGGTATCTGTGAAGTGTCCACAAAATTGATCTATGAAAATAATTAGACAATATATGTGTTTGTTTTTCCAAACTTTAGACACGATTTTTTTTGTTTTTTTGTTTTACTGATTTCCCAATGACATAAAAATAAGTGTAAGTTGTTTTTGGATGATTTTCTAAATTAAGTTGGTATGTAAAGGTAACCAAGCACATTTGCCTTGATTCACATACGTAAAAATTATTGATAATGATGATGATGATGATGATGATGATGATGATGATGATGATGATGATGATGATGATGATGATGATGATGATGATGATGACGATGACGACGACGACGACGACGACGACGACGACGACGACGACGACGACGACGATGATGATGATGATGATGATGATGATGATGATGATGATGATGATGATGAGGAGGAGGAGGAGGAGGAGGAGGAGGAGGAGGAGGAGGATGTTTGAAAAAAGCAGTTCATAATTGCAACCTTGTTTGATGCTAGATGTTGACATCATGATGCATAGGAGGAAATACTAGTTTATTAGGTATCAAAGATAATACTAAAATTAGTTCCGTTTTCAAATATTGAGTGTCCAAGTAGTCTACTGTTATGCGTTTTCAATCACACATTGCTTTATATAACTTACTTTCAATATTACTTATTCACCATAGTCCAAGTAGTTTGCATTTATGTCATTTATGTGTTTTCAATTTCATGTCTTAAAACATATCATACACATAGCTACAGTTACCTTTGGGCTATCAGTAACTTCCTCATCCAATGTCTGAATTGCCATTTCATGCACGCTTTTATTATCTGTCTGTGTATATGTCTGTATGGTATCGACGGCCTCTGTTTGGGTTGCACATGTGCTAGCTTCGGGATGCTAGAAACAACATCGTATTTTTGGACGGGAATTAAATCATATTATATACTAAATCAAAGGCATTGCAAATTTTTTTGAAAGTAGTAACTTTATCACAGCTTTCTTAGCTTAAATATTTACATATTTAAAAGAAAATATTATTAAATCTACCATTGCAATTGCCTTAAATGTTCATTGTAACCTATTTTGTTAGTCTTGTTTGTATTTTTAATTTTAGTTCATTTATATGTTTTGGAGTTTAGTGTGCAGTCCATTTTCACTGAACTAGTACACAATTTTATTGAGGGGCCAGCTGAAGACCAACATCGCGTGCGGGATTTTCTCGCCACGATGAAGACCCATTGGTGGCCTTCTGCTTTTGTCTGCTCTTTGGTTGGGTTGTTGTCTCTTTGACATGTTCCCTATTTCCATTCTCAATTTTAATACATAGTATGTTTACAGTCCATAATGATTGTCATTGAAGATGGTTGTGCCAGCAAGTACGCAGGCAGGTTAATGCACTTTAGAAAAATTAAGCAATGATTTTCGATGATTGCATCGAAATCTAAATCTGACGTCATAATCTAAACTATGCGGAACGTGATTGGCTAAAACGTTTATTCGACGTCAAATTTGAGCTTGTCACGAACAGCTGATCGGGCACCTTGTTATGATAGACCTGCTAACAAAATCACGTCTAAAGATGAATGTTGCTTATATTTTGAGGTAAGTTTGTTAAACACTATTATAGCTAATATTATTGCCGAGGTTTGTAGATCTTCATTTGATTGAAGATAGCGTCTCGATTTTGTATGAATCTAGAATCTAGATTAAGCTGCAACTTAGGCGTTTTGATGTCAACATAACAAGAGAAGTAAACTCGGAGGCAAATTAAAGGGAAGGTAAGGGTGCCCCCTTAATTGAGCTAAATGAAATGGCTAATGCATAGACTTTTGACATGTCCCACTCCAAACGTTACTGAATCAGGGAACCCCGGGTCCCCCTTTTGAAAATCCTTGATCCGCATCTGATTTGACTTCCAATGAATAAACTATCCAAGTCAAAAGTATTTAACTCGTTTAAACTGTGACTTAAACATTATCTAATAGTCCAGGATTTAAAGGATAATTTCTTCATTGACCATTGATTAATATTTGTGACATTTTGCAGACTGGATGCCATGATTTTCAAAAGGAAAGGATGGAACTTGTAAGAAGTCCGAGCACCCTGGTTGCACCCCACCCCTTCCCCTATTCGCCTCTGATGCATGTCATGTTTTTAAGTTTAGGTTGGAGGCAAACACGAGACATAGCTATTCAGTAAGTTTTGAGCATGAATCTTCAGATTGCACATGAAAAATTATTTCCCTTTATGTTTATTTCATTGGATAACATATAAAGAGAAAGAAAATATTTTAAAATAAATGCATGCATGGCACTGTGTATGCAATCATACTTATGATTTGCCAGAATATTATTAAAATTGAAAAGGCAGGCACATGAAATATATATAATAGCTATTTTTTTTATTATGGCCATAATTTAAAGAAAAAAAATCTCATTGTGTATGGTTTTAAATCTGATATTCATTATACCATCATCTTCATTCATCCCTTTTTGTGTACATTTAAATTTTTACATTAATTAATATATTCTACTTTAATATATGTTAGTCCATAGATTAATGTTTATTTGTTATAAATATTGGTTAACTATCAAAATTTGTATCTGAAATCTGTCAGTTTTAATTATATTTCTTTGTGTAGATCTTTTCCACATTTTGACAAGCATCACTTAAAACAATAAACATAAGTCTTATTCTTGTTCATTTACAATGGGATGTGTAAATCTAGTTTGAAACCTTTCAGTAATTATTGTAACTTCTTTTGTATAATGATTCACACCATACTGTTACATTAAAATGACAATATTAATGCTTAAAGACATGTTTCAATTATATTAAGCAAGAGGTCCACACAATGTAAGCATTAATTTTATAATGTATGTCAGCAAAGGGTCTGGATAGGGCTCCTTCATATCTTTATTCTTTGAATTTTTAAATTTCTCTAGTCTTTATTTATGTTTTAACACCCGATTATTCTCTTTTCTTTTTTCCCCTGTTTTTCTGTGTCCTTTCATTTTTTCATTCTTTATTCTGCACTCCCCTAATTATTCCCTATAAGTGAACCCCATTTTGACCCTTATGCAGTAGGTTTGCATAATTTTTCTGATTCATTGAGTTGGATTCAGTCAAATGAATATTGATTGATTAAGTTATAAAAAATAACAAAGTGGTTAAGCATTGTGATGGATAAATATCAGTTAAAGTATCCTGTAGTTAAAGTTTAATTGTAGTTTTACAGAAAGGACTTAATTTTAAGGTACATTTTAAATCACCACAGAGTTTTATTCATGACAAGCTTAATTTACTTAAATGATATTTAGGAAAATAAAATTTAAACTGAAGTTTACTATGTGTATCATAACATGAATGCAATACCATTTAGATTGCCTCTAACTATTACAATATTTTTTTTTCAGTATTATAATTAAGATGACTTGGAATCAATGGTGTAATAATAGTTTTTACAAACTGAAATTGAAAAAGTAATCAGAGGAAAATATTGTGCACTTGTTTTACTTGAAATTCAACAGACACAAGGACAGACCATATATATAATCATATTTTGGGATAATTTTAGATCTATGCATGAAAAGAAAAAAGTTTTAAAGATAATAATTGTGAAGACATATATAACACAATAACTACAGAGCTTAATAGGAAATAATCCATGGAATGTCACATGTGAATTGAAAGAAAAACTTTGGAATGAAATAATTTTCAGTTCAACAAATGGATATAAAAAGGAAAAATTATATGTTTAAACTGACTCAGGAACACTGCAGAAAAGGAATGAAAGTATTACATCAGAGGAAAGGACTGTGCACTTTCTTGTAAGATCAACACAAAAAACGAAATGTTCACATCATTATTCATGATATGCCAGTTATTGAGATAATTTTGGATCTATACATATTGAAATGAGTGAGAATTATAATCCAAACATCATATTTGGCAGGCTGGTAACTGCATGTGCTTACTGGTATATAGGAATATTCTTTGCATGTGACATGAATCAAAAGAAAAATTAAAGAATAAAGAATTTTCCAGTGAAACAATAACATATAAAAATCAACAGGATGATATTTGTCTACATTTATAATGGATCATGGAAAAAAAAAAATATTGTATGTATTGTGATAAGGATTTTCAGTTTAATGTGACCTGAACAATGCTTTTGATATTAAGTGTGAGAAAACTGTTTTGAAATGAATGAATAATTATAAGTATTTTATGAAACTTTCTAAATAGACATTATGTACTTAATAATTAATTAATACTCATGATGAACTCAAGAAGTAAAGTCTTTGTTTCACATGCATACCCCTTTATTAAATTAAACAAATAGTTTCACCTCTTATTTTAATTTTTTCTATAACAATAAAAATTGAGTATATAATTATTTACCTAGTATTATAGTTTTTGCTGGTTTAAATCCTGGACCAAAGGACTTGTTATCAAATTAATTGATTTAATAAATTTTATACTGAAGAGACTGCAATGAATGAATGATGCATTTTCAGCAAATGAACATAGAGAAATTCTAGCTTAAAGCAAATATTGTCTCTGGAAAGATGCATTTACATATGTGACAGTTTTCCGATCCATACTAATGTCAGTGAAGTATTTAAAAATGTTTTTAAAAAAGAACATTTTCAAAATTTTTATCAGGTCTGGGCAGATTAATATTTTTCATGAAACACGCAAAATTTGGAAGAATTGGCTTATTACGTTCTCTTCATTTGTTTTAGAAAAAAATTATTGCCGTTCGTCATCTTAAAGTCTTAAAAACCCTATGAGAATTGAAGCTAAGTAAGTAAACAAGTTAATTTTATTTATAGTCGTCACACATGTGGAGTTAGAAATGAACATGAGGTTACGAAGGTTCTTATAAAGTGTATAAGTGTGGTGGCTAACGTTAAATGTTTTTTAAGATTCATTAACACATTCAAGTATAAAAATGTTAAAAATAACATTGTTTGACATCTTTAATGTGTCCATTTCAAGTCAATAACTATCAAAATAATGACAAAATGTCGTTTATTTCTTTCCCTGTACTTTGACACCAAAAAGGGGAATAATCGATCTGAATCATTTCAGTGTTTACATATAACCGCGAAAGGACTTATGCCTCATTCATTTATAAAGATGGCATTGGCGCACCCCGTTAATATTTATTGATCTATTTAAAACTTGGCATATTTATTCTTGAAAAGCTCATGAATACCGTGATTGCTGTTTCTTGATCTTAAAATGAGCACAACGCTTTTAAATGGACAGGGAAGTTGGTTTTTGGTGTAGCCATGGTTGGATTGTATGTCACTTCTGTTATTTTCTATTAAAAAAGGGCATAATTTCAGAAAGAAACAGCTGTTACAGGAAAGAAAACATTTTTATCAACCAAATACAACTTTATTTTCATTCATTAGTGTAGTTCTTTGGGGTGTGCCGGGCTCGTGAAGTTGAAGGTTGACACGCCATCTTTCAATGTCGCCCGTTACCATGGTAACCAGGTGGGCAGTTCTGAGACAACAGAAATTAAAAGTTTGGATCATATAAGGTATGATCAAAATTAGTTCTGGGTATGAAAGTTACTTGATAAAAATTCTAAATAATTTCAAAGATTTTGTTATGAATAAATACCCAATTTACCGTAGAACAGCATCAACCTGCCTGCGTACCATTTTTTTACATAACTGTGCCGACCAAAAATGTAATCTCGCATAAGTAAGACAAGACATATTTGAAAGATTATATATTTATTGGTGTTAAGTTACTAAGAACAAGAAGTTATTGTTTTGTTTTGTTATATGTGGTCCCTGTACAAAAAAAGACCCAATGCAGATTAAATAACAAACAAGAAGTGTAACTAGAATAAGTTGACAAATATGAAAAGCGAGAAAACCGATGAACTTAAAAAAAGACTTAAACTATGTATAATTGTAAATTATGATACTAAGTCGTTTTCAATTGTTAAAAATATTGACTTAGCAAAAACTATCACTCTTTTGTATATATGATGTTTTCACTAAATGATATATCCCTATATCGCAAGTCAACCATGCGCCAACAATTCTATTCTGAGGACCACCCTCGGGTGCGGGATTCTCGCTGCGCTCACGACTCATTGGTGGCCTTCGTTTGTTGTCTGCTCTTTGGTCGGGTTGTTGTTCCCCATTTTTATCCTCAATTTATTAAAGCGAATATGATAAGTTAAAAGGTATATTTATCGTCTTTACACAATAAGTTTATAGAATCATTTCCTAAATAGTTCATCAATATATAATCAAAGGAAAAAGGATGATTGAACTGGGTTATATAACAATGAATAAACCCCGCCACCTTCTGCATGTAAGTGCCTTTCCTAAGTCAGGAGCCTATCATTCAGTGGTTCTGTGTTGTTGCTTTGTTACAAAGTTGTTTTCGTTCATTTTCCTGAAGATGGATTAGGCCGTTAGTTTTCTCGTTTGAATTGTTTTACATTTGCCATTTCGGGGCCTTTTATAGCTGACTATACGGTGTTGGCTTTGCTCATTTTTGCAGGTCGTACGGTGTCCTTTCGTTGTTAATTTCTGTGTCATTTGGTCTCTTGTGAGAGTTGTTTAATTGGCAATCGTACCATATCTTCTTTGTTATTATAAGTATATTCATTCCATTTGCATTGGTATATATTTCTTAACGTTACTGAACAATTTGCATAACTATGCATTATTCAGGTTCATTATTCGAGGACTAAACGTGTTTTAATATGATGCATACATGTGTGAGAAAGTGAACGTGGACTATTTTCTGTCAAATTTTTGGTACAAATGTTCCCGTTACATCCCTATTAAAACCAAAATATGGATCATTTTTTAAAGTTAACAAATTCTTCTGTGTTTCAATCACAGTTAGGATAGGACAAAACGAGCGCTTAACATTGTTTTTCAGATATGAACGTCGGTCATTTATCATAACAAACATGTTAATATTTTTTTCATCGAAAGCCTCTGCCTCGTGTTTCCTGTCTTAAAACTTTAACCAAAAATTAAACGTCCATGTTTTCTATGATGATCCCTTCAGATAAAGGTTAATAATGACGTCACAAAAAGAACGGTGAATTTTAATTCATCATTTATATATATTCATTGTAATATGGTACATTATGTTAATCGAACGTACGCTTTATAATTATTTATGACGTTTTGTTTCGTTTGGGATATCTTTAACGAAAATATTTCATTTGCAGCTTAAAGATAGTGTATAGCTTAATTTCTCATAACATCATAACATAACATACCTTCTTTCTTTTTTTGTAAGTCCAATTCCTTGACTGCAAATTAAGTTTGGCAATACATTGTAGTTAGTCTCGTTACATGGCTTAAAATTGGAATACAAATATTTGAATTTATCCTAACCAATATGTAATTAGATACAGAACGATTTTATGATATTTCGATAATAACATTAGTTTTCAGTAATCTTCAGTAGTCTAGATTGGTATTTATTTTTTCAATGTTGTTCTCCCAAATGTGGAAATGAATCAATTTCATAATTCTAGTATAAAATAGATTGTCTTTCCATTGTATCATAACAGATCTATATAGTTTGTGTAATAACTTATTAGCTTTCAACTACTGTTCAACTGTATATAAAAAGTATTAAAACAAGATAAAAAAAAAAAATGAAAATAAGCATAACCTTGAAAGCAGCTTCTTTACATTATATAATGTTCAATAAATTAAAGCGACATTAGTTTATGAATGTTCAAATCACGTTAATCGATTTCGATCTTATAATTCAAGGTAACAAACACAAACTGAGGGAATCGCAGAAGCTCTAACATATGCAGGCCCTGGTGAATATAAAGGGTAAGGGTCTCTTGATATGCATGCATAATCAGACATGAGAATACATAGTCAGTAAAAGTGGCATAATCCAGAATAGGACACAACTACAGGTCAGTAAATTGATCTGGTATCTCAATTTCTAGGACTACAAAAGCATCTGACTAGTGGGTTGAGAGACTGAAAAGTCGAAAAGGTCAACAAAATCGTGATTAAATTTTATAAGCAGGTGCTTTTAAGCAATGATGTCTAAACATAAGGAGAACGTTGTAAATAATTATAGGTCATCATACATTGCACGGCAGGGTCGTGTATCTCTGCATGTGAACTGTAAGTCCCCGATAGTATCAGCAGCCCATTAGCCAATACGTAGTAAGTACGGATGTGAACTTTATAACAACTTAATGTTGAAACAATTTAAGAAATTGTAGCTCAGATATCTTAGGTGTCATCATCCATGTTTGATTTTAAAATAGCAGATAACAATCGTAAAAAAAACCAGAATATTTTGAAAGTTAAATGCTACTCATCTTTGTTTTTAAGTTATATAACATTCAAAATGGAAAGTCCTTCACTTTTAATAAGTTCTTGATTCTTTTTGACATTTACAAATTTTCATTTCAATGCTTGATGCAAATTCGATTTATTGAGCTTTTGATAATAGGTTCATTTTCCAACCAATTTACAATCGTTTTTAAAATTTAGAAACAGTATTTGTCATTAATCTTTTTTAACTTTGGCTGATTTCTACTCTTTGGTCGGATTGTGTTATTTTTGTTTTTATAAGTCTTTCATTTATATCACGATGCTGAAATATATATGTCATCATTCTAATTTGATGTTACTTACAGTTTCTTCGTGATTGGCTTCAGGAGGGATGTCTATTGGTTCTAGAATCTATAAATATATTTCCTGAATTGTATAAATATATTCATATGGCAATTAATTGTCCAATTGACAAAATGCATTGAAAGGTGTGCTCAAATGTGTTCAATACATGATTGTTTTATATCATAAAGTTAATAATATCAATTCATTATGATAGAAAAAAACATTAATTGCATGGAAGCGCTGGGTTCGGTAATGAATAAAAGGAATGTATTATTCAATACAAAGTTAAAACATTCCTGTCATGACACTTTGTAAGATACAACACTTGTGTGTTTTCAAAGATTTGATCTCAATGTTGAAATTAGTAAAACTAAATTGAAACTTACTGTTACTTTGAGGTCTGTTGGATCTAAGATCTATAAACACAATAAGGTAATGCTAATATACAATCATTCATCAAATAATTCATGTGTAACTCAAAAAGACGTGTGAAGACAATATATATCTAAGTATATGCTTAAATGTGATTGTGTTCTTAGAACATATATCTAGTAAAAATATCATAAAAATTATTATTGTGTTATAGAACAATCTGCAACATCCATATTTGAAATTAATATTGATTCACCAATAAGGTATTTCAATCTGAAATAAACACATTTATTCTAGATCCAGCAGCTTTATTTACATTGTACAGGTATGTTCTTCTCAAGGTTTTGCGATGGAATAATACTACACTCCTAACGGGAGGGATTGTGCTTGGTTGTCATATGACGGAAAACTAATTAATCGAGGTCTGGAGCTGACATGTCATTAACTGCTAGCACGCCTTTGTTATTTTATGTATCATTGTCATTTTGCCTAGTATTCCTGTTATCCATTCTGACAATGGACTTGGACTACTTTTAAACTGAGTTTTAAAGTGTGTATTGCTATGTGTTTCTTTACTCTTCATTGACTAGAGGTTTTGCAGGAGTACTGAAATTTCACAAAACATGTTCAATTAACCCCGTTGCATGTTTGCGCCTGTCCCAAGTCAGTAGTCCCTGGCCTTTGTTATTCTTGTATGTTTTTTATTTATTCCAGTTCATTAATATGTTTCGGAGTTTAGTGTGATGTCCATTTTCACGGAACTAGTACACATCTTTATTGCAAGCCAGCTGGAGACCTTCTCCAGGTGCGCTTTTTCTCGCTGTGTTGAAGACCGTTTTGAGGCCTTTTGTCTGTTGTTTGTTCTTTGGTCAGGTTGTTGTCAATTTGACATATTCACCATTTCCATTCTCATTTTGTTTTGTCGTTGTTCTAAATTCGTTTTGAACTGTTTTGATAATCCTGTAAGACCTTTTTCTCAAACGCAAGACATGTCATCAATTTTAAGTATTGTTTTCGGCGACTTTTTTTTGTTTCTGGTATGTATCTATTATTTTGATGTAACCAAAACGTTTATATTAAACTATTCGAAAAAAAACAACAAAACAATGTATATCAAAAACGTCAATATCAACATGTTTTTGAAGGGTATACTTTCTTAGACAATAATTTATACTTTACGTAATGTATATACACATTACCATTAGATAAAAAAGAACATATAACGTAGTAGATATATACCGTTGGTGAATGTTCAAATTTCGCATCAGCTGATTTTGACCTCTTCTGCTTCTTTCGTCTTTTTTTAATCTGTTTTAAACGAAAATTATATTATGACAGACAATTTATGATTTCAATCATAAGGATAAATATAATAAAAATTGAATAAAGAAGAATAATATTTTTCAATAAAATATGTAAATGTTTTAATGTTTTGACGATAAAGTTTGGAACAAAAATTGTTAAGGAAAAACTTATCGTTCATACAAGCGTCGCATAATATCAAATAATTCTTATATGATTTGCATATCTATAAATACTTGAATTGGATTGGTCAATTTGAATTTTTTCCTTTAGTTTACACTTCGATAAACCATGTTTCCGAAACTACTTTCGTAACCTTCACTTTGATCTATTCATTCGCGATACACATGCATGCAGGGATCCCGGGATTTTCAGCAAATTGAGATTGAAAAACAAATGCATAGCAGTTGTTTCTATTCTAATGCATATATAACAAAAAAGAAATAATGCATTAAAGCTTTGAAAATGAATAAAATTTTTAAAATTTTTTTTAAAAATTCCGCGAAATTTCACGAATGATTTAGCGAATTTATGTCATGGCAAAACACGACGTCATACGAATGAAAACTTTCAAGCGAAAGATTATTTCGTTACTTGTACGCTTCACATTCGAATAATATGTCATTAAAATAAAGATTTTGAGGTAGGTGTTATTTTATTTTAGATTCTGTTGCATTTATCGAACATTTATGTATTTTAGAAAGTCAATATGGCGGCTAACTCCTTAGTTACGACATGTCATTTGTGCATTTGATAGTAAATATAGTAGCCATTACATTAAATTAAATCTCGAATATTTGGCTTAAGAATTATAAGGATTAAACACATTTTTCTAGAGGTTATTGATGTGTAAACCGGGGCGATTAACTCACAAACTTAACATAAAAGTCCTTTGGACTTTTATTCAGTTTGTGAGTTAATCGCCCCGGTTAACACATCAATAACCTCTAGAAACAATGTGTTTAATCTTATAAAAGACACTTCCTGGCACCGACATAAATTAGTGTCACATCATATGAATCAGAACACATTATGGGGCAATTTAACTTTTATTTAGTGATAATAATAATAATGATAATAATAATAATAATAATAAAGGACTTGAATTAAGATATGGGGATATAGTTCTATATTTTATATTTTCTTAGTTTGTTTTAAGAAAACTGCATACATTTATTTGGTTGCGTTTGACATATTGAATATATTTCCAAATATACCAATGACAAAATGTGGTATGATATCTAATGAAACCACTCTTCATAAGAGACTAGATGACACAGAATTATAATTTCAATTTTAATATAATAAACAAAAACAACTTACCGAGAAATCTTTATAAACTTTGCTTGCATACTCTTGATTGTTAGGAAAATATTTTGAATATTTCATAAAATTGGAATTCTGAAAGAGAATGTACAAACACTTTTACAACCCATTTACTTTAAAAAAAACAATAACTATATATAAAAACATGCTTGAATAATATGTTTTGATCATAGTCAACACAATGCAAAGGAAATCAGTCATTGCCTACCTCACTAAAAGTTATTTGAATGTGTAATCCAGTAAAATATCTATGATTTACTAGCATATAATATTGTATGCAATACAGAGATGAAGAGTTTGCTCCCTGATATCGGTTCATTGTTTCACATCAAATCTAAATGCCTATATTTACATAATAGTTATTGAAAAAAAACTGGTCATCATCGTAATATGTGGACTGCCCATAGAACAGTGGTATTTACTTAGTCAGCGATAATGACTTAGCCGTAGACGAGGTCATTATCGCTGTCGCATTCAATAACACTGTCTTACGGGCAGTCCATGTATCACGATAATGACTTAGCCGTAGACGAGGTCATTATCGCTGTCGCATTCAATAACACTGTCTTACGGGCAGTCCATGTATCACGATAATGACCAGCTCTTCAATAACTATTATGTTTATTTTATTGAGGAACCATGTTTTAAAAAATTCTCATAACTTCAAATTGTTCAAAGCAAACTCGAGTTATTGTACGAGTTCTATAGGAAAGAATAAAGACCAGTCACTGCCATTCATTATCGTGCAATTTTTCAGTATATGTATACAAAATAAAGTTTTCTATGAATTTATAATTAACGAAAACACATATGGTAAATAGTTCAACAACTTCAATATAAAATTGAAAAAAGGAAAATGTTTTATTAAAGAGACATACCGGTACTCTTAAGAGAAAAACCACGCCCCACAGGTCAATAACATGAAAAACAGAGAAACCACGCCCCACCGGTCATTAACATGTAATTGTCTGTTAACAACCGGTTTACTGGTCCGTTTTTTTTCTGTAAATGACCGATGGAAATTAATACTGAAGAATAAGGAATGTCATGTGGTTCCTTGTTATCTTATAAGAGAAGCTAATTCTTCACCTATATGTAATAAATGGAAATAGTGTGCCTAAAAAAATCGAATTGGTCTAGTCGTTTCGTTTCTGTATCCGATCGCTTCTTGATTGCAGAAAGCCTATATTGTTTACCCTTACCGTTCATATAGATTGTATTACAAAGGCAATGTACATAAAAACTTAAAGATGTCGTTAACTTCGCAAATGAAATAAAATGGTTATGAGCACACCTCAACTCTAACCGGAATTTTTGCGAATCAATGTTTAACAGGGAAAAAACTATGTTGCGAGCAATTACAAGGTTAATTTAAATCTTTTTTTATTCAGAAATCTTTAATATCTATCGATATTTTAATAATACATCGACTATTGTTGAAGAGGAAATCACGCCATGTTACCAAATTTTAGAAGAAAAATATGTAGATTTTTTTCAAAATACATTTTAAAGAATAATATTATGTACATACAATACTTAGCATGATGCATGCAAAATAAACAAGCCATTTAGAGGATATTGACATAAGATCGAGGGAAATTAAAGGACACTTCCATCTAAATGTCACTTCTGGGTGAAAAACATCCAGTTCTTAGTATATGGGTGAATCAACATTATTTTTATTTCAGTTGGTGTATCAAACATTAATCAAATATATTTATTTTTATGTATAGATTTATTTAAATATACGATGCATGTCTAGCTTTATATGATGATGTGAGATACGTGTTTTTTTACCCGAAAACTTATGTATTTTATTAAGGGCAAGGAACCAGTCAAATGGTAGCAAAAAAAAAAAAACCCAAAAAGTGCAATTTGAAGCAAATCAAAAATTTTAAATGATGGGATACTTACTACATAAAAAAATGCCTGAACCAAGTCAGGAATATTACAGTTGTTATCCATTTGTGATTGAGCTTTTGATTTTGACATTTGAAAAGATATTTTTAGTTTTGAATTTTCCTCAGAGTTTGTCATTTTTGTGATTTTACTTCATACGTAAACATCGAACAAATCATTTTGTTCCCGACACTGAAAAGTAATATAACAAAAATACCGAACTCCGAGGAAAATTAAAAACGGGAAGTCCGTAGTCAAATGGCAAAAAAAAAGCTCAAACATATTAAATGAAGGGATAACAACTGTCATATTCCTGTCTTGGTACAGGTATTTTCTTATGTAAAAAATACTGAATTGAACCTGGTTTTATAGCCTGCTAAACCTCTCACTTGTATGACAGTCGCATAAAATTCAATTATATTTACAACGATGTTTAAAAAAATTCAAGACGTACTAGATAAAAATGTCAAAAATAGAGAAACAGCAGCTAACATTGTGTTAATCTTAATCACTATAAAAACAAACCAATATGCAACAAAGAAACACAAAAAAAACATATCAACAAAGTACATTGGGAAAAATAAGAGACAAGAATACAAAATTTGCCATTACACAATAACACAATGAGGGGATGTATAAATAGAGCCACGTCATATGTTACAAATAAATACAAAATGATTTTAGATAAAGAGCACACGAGCAAAAAGGTAAGACAAGAATACAAAAATTTACCATAACACAATAACACAATGGCGGGCTGCACAAGTACAGATCCACGTCAAATGGATATTACAAATAAAACACAGATTAAACATTACAGGGTGTATTCATAAAGACAAATATAAGAACATATTATTAATACAAGACATTATTTTTCAATCCTCGATATACGACAAACGCCATTTGATCAAAATTAGAGTTTCACACAAACACACGCAAAATATGATAATAACTTACTCCTGTTGTTGTCATCTTCTGTCAATTTTCAACCTGAAATACATAATAGTGGTTTCCTCGTTATTTACCTTACTAATTGGTTATATAAAAAAAGACTTCAGAAAACCAAGATAAAAACATGTGAAATGATATATATATTACAGCTTTACATATGGTTTGGATAGTTTTCTTTTGCTAGATATATTTTTATCATTTAAAAAATGAGCTGACATTTGTAATAACAATTCAAATTTCATGGCAAGTGTTAGGATACAGGCTCATTTGGCATCGAGGTCCTAATGTTGTCTTACAGCTATATCAAATTATACGTGGTAAAATAAAAATCATCATAATTAGGGTCAGAAGGGTGCATGGAAATCCAAACACTATTTGTTTGAATGGCAACTACATTAAGTGCCTTATGGTTCACTTTACATATTCCTGTTCTGTGTATTTAAAGTGTTTAAAAAACCAGTTTGTCGCTTTGGCGTTTATTCTGAACTAACGTGTAAAAGTATGCCGTGATTATTTTTTAACAAGTGCATACGTTGTGTTTGTTTTTAACAATGGTTAATATATTAGAATTGTTCAGCCATATCTTAAGGAATAACACAACGTACCAAAATTTATCGGAAATAAATCTACGTCATGGCTAAAGGGAACAAGCTAAAAAAAAAAGAGGCAAGCAGAATAGAACGAGAAAAGACGGACATACGACATCATTATAAAGGGGGGAGGACAAACTCATCATATTCAATATTTCTCAAATAAAGTATCAAAAACTGAATTCATTAAATGATAACTATGTTGATATGAAGAAGAAAAAATTATCGATATCTTTTTTGACATCTTCAGATAATAGTTAAGTATGGTTTTTCTCAAACATAACCCTTTATATAGAACAGGATTCTATGTTTATAGTTTATCAATATCTCACACGATAAAGAAAATCAACAGTATTGTTTTCAATTCTTGACTACGCCGGAATTGATTAGATTGAAACACGAACAATTTAGAAACGTGTGCAAAATACCATAATGACAGTTGTCAACGCGCTTTTGTATTAAAAGTGTACTGCAAAAGGTTAATGGGATCCCTTAAACTCTTAAATGACAATAAGACCTTCCTACTTTTTTTTCAAAGTCTATGAAATATGGATTACACTTAGGCTAGGAGTTAATATCATTATTATCATTTATAATTTAGATATGTACGGGGCACTTAACGTGCCACGTTATACTACAAATAAAATACGGAAAAAAGCAAGGTGGGTTAGGTCATTCGTAATATTTCAAATGCCATGAAAGTAAATATGTATAAACAAATACACATATTTTTGGAAAATTTTGTCTTTAAATATCAAACTCGCACTTTCAGTCTTCTGTATATATCGAAGTGGAAAGGTTTCGATAAATTCCTCTTGATGTAATTATTATCTCTATGCATATTCTTGTGAAGATCGAATGTTCTTAAAAGTCTTTGAAATTCCCTGGGCCCGCTTTTTTTTTCTAAATGGTCATCCTCGTCACATGAAATGTTTCTCGGAAATTGTTTGTTAACGTATGTGCATATATACTTAGTGATTTTTAGTCAAATGTTTACGCCATTGAAAGACAAGGGAGGTGTTTCCGGTATTTACGTGTTAGCCGATAGACTTTTCACATATATTTTGAAAGTTAAAATTGCACATTATGACGTCCGTACAAATTGAAGTCCAACATACAAATATGTTTTTATTGGCTGACTTTTCAATTATATTTATCCTTGTGAGAAATGGTGTGACTTGTAGTAAAATAAGCGATGTGAACGAGAAGTGGAAGATACCAACGTGATACCTGGACGCATAAGTCGGAGTCAAACGGGCAACATCATGCAAATAAACACGTAAAACGTTGAAACAACAAACAATATCATACAAAACACGACATAAAAAATAAAATAAATACAGTAAAAACAAGAACTTTCCACACCAAACAACCAACTCAAAACAAAATCGTAGGGATCGCAGGTGCTCAATATGTCATGTATAAGCAATCTTAAGATTATTATGTTATAGTTATGACTTGTACGTTAATACAAAAATGAAGACGTAGATGTTGTTTATATTTAAATATTTTGTCTGTCTGCATCTGTTTTGTTTTCATACAGTTTATAAATACTACAGTATATGATTTATTTATTAAGGATGGTTTCAAATTAAAATGAGAAATCTTACCTCCAACCAAAAATTGTTA